CCCGCTCATTCAGCGAACATAAAAAGGATGCCTCATAAAATTCTGATTGTTACGCAGGCCGGGACTCGAACCATGCGGGCGACCTAAGGGGAAAACAAAATGTGTGTCTATTTTTTAGTTTTCATGCTGTCCGAAAGAAATATACAAGATCTCCGGACTCGTAGCACTTACTGCTACTCAATCGTCTACAGCAAATGCTGCTTCATATTGCCAACGCATTTGGTACATAAACGGTTGTGGAGCTCCGAGCATATCTCAAGAGACTTGGTATTGTATGGCTTAAAGCCCACACGCGTGTAGGCGCCCACACAGTTGAAACTTGTGCAAACTCATACATTTCCGTCTTGCATTAGCTCACACTTCCGCCTACAAACTTGTGTGTCGTCTCGCCTCATCTCGTCTCGCCTCGTCTCGCCTCGTCTCGTCTCATCTCGTCTCGCCTCGTCTCGTCTCATCTCGTCTCACCTCGTCTCGGCTCGTCATTTCGGCAAGTGTTTTAAGTTTTCTGTTTTTATTGCACAACATTATAATTCATGCCTACTCTTATATGTATGTATGTGTGTATGCATGTATATCATTAGGCTAAAATATGCAAATTGTGATTAATAGCATTATTTTGACACCACATCAAATGCAACGTCAAATGAGCTTGAAAAGTACTTACACATACATACTCGTATGTACATGTACTTATATGTTTGTGCTAATCTATATATCTCTGTGTGTGTGGGTGGGAGTGGAAGCATATTACAAATGAAAGCCTGTCAATTAAAGTAGTCTAACAGTTTCATTATGCGCATATTTTTAGGCAAAAGGCGAGAGAATTTAATCAAGAGAATGCAAATGAGCTCAAAAGAGAGATCGCAATTATGATTTAATCTCTTTTGAATTGCCAATCAAACTGTAAATTACAGTTAAAGAGGTGTGCACTTTATGAGAAAATTATGGGGGGTTGGAGTTAAATTAACAATTTCCACTCCATTCGCGTCGAGTACTCGTCCTTATAGTCTACATGGCACAGAATCATGGACGATGTCGATATCCCTTCAGTTGGCCCTTTGTGTTTTCGAGAGAAGGATTTTGCGAGCAATTTAAAAACCACCACCAATTACCAAAGGCCAATATCGTCGCCGAAGAAACGGTGAACAATGTAAGACATACGCATATTTAGATATATAAATGTATGTATGTCTCTAACCATTGAAATGGACCGAGCTCCTCCTCCTCCACTTTGCGGTTGGCGTCTTAATTATGAATTCGGTTGTTGGACAGACCACGACTCGAACTCTAACTTTCCGAATGATGATACGCAATGCTAACAACACAGCTATTGCTCGACCGAGCATCTCCTCCTTCCTGGTGTGCGTCTTGATGTTTTTGTTTTCAATGGAGGAACCTACAGTTTATTCTAAGCTGCGTCCGCACGGCTGATGGATTTTGATGAGGAGCTTTTATTTTATGTCGGAAATACATTTAGAGCACACTGGCTGCGGTGCCAATGGACGATCGCAATTTAGAAAAATTTATTTTGAATGTTGCTCGGACCAGACTTTCCGTATGGCATTACGCTCGACTAACCACTCGTTTATTACGGCCATCATTGATCAGCGAATTAAAAGAAGCAGCTTTCCAAGCTAGTACACGTTTCCGGAAGGATGAAAAGATTCAGGCTAAAAATGCATTCGATGCAGTACTAGCCCTTGGAAGCAGAAGGGAACGACCTTCACTCCTTTGAAAAATCAGCTGCATAAAGTCTTGTCTCTACTTAAGGTCTTCAATTGGTACCAAACTGTGAAAAGAAGAAACATCTAGCTTACACATGTGGACTCTGCTATAATCACATAGGCGATACCTACGAAAGACAGTTTCTTCCGCGAGTTCTAACAACCAATTTTGGCGTAAAATCGCTCAGAAGATCAAAATCGAGATCACCAACACTTTCCAGACCATAAAGTTAATGAAAATCTTATAAACGAAGACGCCTAATTAAAATGTATTGCTTAGAACCGTGAAAAGAATGTACGTGGCTTTCAAAGACGGTTTCCAACTCAGCGAGAGCTCCTCCACACCTTCCAAGGTAATAGAAAATCTCATAACTAGAAAGACTTACCTGAAATTAAATCGCTAAGCTATGAGGTAATTGTGGAAATTTTTTAATGGCGTGCTCTCTCTCGCTGCAAAAGCTCCTGAAAGAGTGCAACTAAGAAAACAAAAATCATATAATGAAAAAAGGTTCAGCCTTAATCGCGGCATGGCAACCGTGCGAACTCTTCAAACACTATATCGATACTCGTGACCAAATCTAAAAAAGGATCTTTTGTCGGTAAGATAGTTTTTTGCTCTCTTCTCCCGCGTTTCTTATATTCTTCTTAAAACTCTCTTGAATCTTGAATCCCTCGTAACGAGTGCTGAGACTCCTAAAAGAAGCACAGGAATGTAAAAGGCAAATGAGAGGACGAATGAGCTGGCTAGCGTCGGTGCCGCTAGTGAGATTGTCACTTGTGTTCTTGTATGTGTTTTGAGGAGCCATATACCCCAAAAGATATAAAGATGTCATTTCCCTAAGCTAGGAAAGGTGCATTCGGCGTAATGTAAAGCTTGCTTAGGGGGAAAACGAAATAGTGAAACATTGCCTTTACGAGTGACCCACCTTCAAGCGATTGAAACATCAAATCCTACACGGTGCTCCGCGTGGCAAATTGATGGAGGTGAGATCTCATCGCTGAAAGAAACAAAATCAAATGACCAAACAAACAAAGGCACCTCTGATCTATCAGTTTCGCTATCTGGCTCTCGGTACAACTTGAGCCGAGCTACCTGACCCACCGCCCGCCTGTCTTGTTACTACGAAATGTGAATTGTTTACATCAACTCCTGCTACAGACTAAGATCTAGAGACCCCAAGTCGGCGTGTACCCAGAAATAGTGCTTGGTTACCTGACGCATTGCAGAAGAGAAGGTTTAGTGAACAAATGAAGATGACTTTCAGTTTATCTTAACTCGCTCTGATGATTCTGCAAGCGCACTTTGGTTCGTTTAGAGATTGATAGGCTGCTGGGAATTGGTCCTTCATCAGTCGAGAGCTCTAATCTACAACTACTCGGGATTTCAAGAGAGTACCTTTGTGTGTGTCATCCAAAGTGTAGTGATATGAGTGTACCGTTCGCTTCTACCGACCAAAATAAAATCAAAACACGAAAAACCTATTTATTTGGTATTTACAAATAGTACATAACCTCAAAACTACAAAAGTGTATAATGTACCATTTTCTTCTTAATTGACCCGCTCCGAAATTACTTATTATGAAATTATATTTCGATCTACAAAGTAAACATTTAAGTACTCTCTTAAGCGTTTCAAATAATAGAAGTCCTCTGTAGCGGAGGTCCTTTGGTGGGCTGCAGTCGTCAGTCCGTTTTCAGCTTGACGTTTTCGCCACTCAAAATGTTTACGAAGGAAGGTGCAAACACTTCAACGAAAAGGTAAAAGAAAATCCGCAAAATCTCCACTCTTGCGTATCGTATTAAATTCTAATAACGGTTCAACGCACGCGCACACACACACACACACACTCACACACTCTCACTAAAACCTGTACAGTTGTTATTTATTTCCAAGTGCCTCGCCATCTGACTAAATCAGTTTCAATGCTTTTTTGTGCAGATTTATGATTTCATGCTTCAAATACTTTGCGTTCAAGCAATTATATATGTATGTACATACAGTGTGTATGTATGTATGTATACATACAGATTGTTTGAACTAACCAATATACTGCGATCTAATGCAAATGATGTGTGCATAACATATTTTTTGGGGGAATTTATTTGGCTTATTTTATTATTAATTTGTTTTTTCTTCTTCTTCTTCTTCTTCTTCTTCTTCTTCTTTTGTTTTGCGGTCAACGGGTCAATTTTGCATGCTTCATTACGTATGCTGAGTTGGAATAAATATTTAAATTCTATATGTATGAATGTGACATACAAACACTTCCAAGTATATATATATATGAATATGCGCTAATATACAAAAAGAGCCCAAAAACTATATAAGAACAGAAGAAGGTTAAGGCAAGAGTTGATTTCCTTCGAATAAAAAGCAGTAAATAAGACCGCAGGCAAGGATGTGGGTGTAGTTATGGTTAAAGGGTGAAAGTTGGAGGTCATGCCGAGCAGAGCACCGTTGCACCATAGAGGTCTGGGGCTGATTAGGAAGGAGTGTAGAAGGCACAGCCGTAAAGGCTTGAGACGCAGTTGAGCGCTGGCAGTGTTCTAGGATACGACCAAATACCCCCCCGCATAGCAATCTTTTATTTTACTGAAACCAGAGTATCGTAGGAAGAAGTAGGAAAGTCATGACTGCACTCGTTGTCTGCAAGGTTAAAGATGGGGACTAAAACCGTATATTGACAATACAAACGAGTAATAAAATCAAAATTCAAAATAGCCGAGTGGTTATATACGAAGCCTGGTCCAAGCAATGTCCAATTTTATAGAAAATTAATTTTTCTAATCGCGATCGCTCCTCGGCAGAGATACTCAAGCCTACAAGATTGTATTTCTGGTATTAACTAAGCAGCTCTTCAGAAAAATCCATCGAATTCTGGAAGCGGCTTAGCTTAACTTGTAGAACCCTCCGTTTGTTACAAAAAAAAACATCAAAACGCGCACCACGAATGGAAGTAGGAGCTTGGGTTAACGTAGCGGTAGGATCATAGATGAGCAGGAAAGAGGACACACCTCTCTATGCAACTGCTCAGCCCTCAGTGCGGCTCTCTTCTTCGGAAGTACTTACTTCGACGAAAGGTTAAAGAGACTCATTAACGCCCAAGTGCGCTTGCTCACATACCCAACAATCACAATGAAAAAGCGATGGACGCTTGAAGGCGACTTTTCAGCGAGAATATTTATTTTTACATTTCATTCTTGTTATTTTGCGGAAATACTCGTAAAAATATTTATAATTACCACCTGTAAACTCTTCAAGCATAAAAACACTTTCAGTTAACTCTGAAAGCTTGATGATTTCCTCGAAAATGTGGTCTGTAAGGAGAGAGGGGAGGAATAATTAATGATGAGGAAAACTTTTAAATAAAACTCAAGACCAAAAGCTTTACCTCAGCACCTTCACGGAGTTCACTCTCACTCTGCGTTCAATCATTCTTCTTCTTCTTCTCAGCGGTAAAATGAACTCGAATATTGGACGCATAAAAGCGAAATAGATTACTTCGGCCACCGATATAAAACTGAAGCCCATAAAGAGACTCATAATGCCGCCAGTGTTAGCTAAGGAAAGAAATAAAGCGCATATAAGTTATTGTTATGCCCCAGGATTTTTTAGCGTTACTATAAAGATTAAGGTTTGTCATTATGTCTCAAAAGAATACGAGCAAATAACGCCGCGGCTGGCTCATATGAATTCCAACCGAGTGGTCCAATTTTCGAATACTATTTGCAGCAATTGGGACCATTTGTTAGCGATAACGCGTCGGATATCCTCTTACAAGCCATCAACCCTCTCGGGTTTATCTGCGCTGACAAGGGACTTCATATAACTCTTCACACAAAACAGTCCAACTGTGTTAAATCTCACGAACTTCGAGGTCACGCATAGGCTTACGACATAATGCACACACAACATCTTCCTTCAGTTAATTGATGCTTTCGTGGGCTGAATGGCATGTCGCGGCGTCTTGCTAGAACCAAGGGTCTTCCACATCAACATCCTCCAATTAAAGCACTAAAAAGTCATTAAACATGGTTCCATAGCGTCCGCATTCGCCATTGCCTGTAACATTATGACCGGCTTCATTTTCGAAGAAATATGGACCAATGATGATTATCTCTGCTCGTACACCCCACCAAACCTGGCTTTTTGGGGAAACAATGGCGTCCCAACAGTAGTTTGTGGATTATCACCACTCCAAATGCGACAGTTTTGCTTATTAACCAACCCATCAAATCAAAAGTGAGCTTCATCGCTGAACAAAATTTTGTTGTCAAAATCGTGACGGATGTCCATCTCGTTTTGGGTCGTGCGCCGCACTTGATGGTCGTCCGTCTTCAAGCCTTGCACGGATTGGATTTTGAAATACCGCAAAGCAAGATCCTCCATTCCTAAAGTGGATGAACACAGCTAAAATTGCTGCGCACAATGGCACACGGACTCATTCGGGTCTTCTTCGATAGTCAGTCTGTTCATTATGAAATGAAATTTTTGACTCATTGAAAACCATACGTCTAAAAAAAGACACCCTTTACAAACAATACTAGCAAATTTAATCAACGTGAAGTGAAGAATTGTGCTCTCTGCTTTAGTGCGCCTAACTCGAACCACGAAAGATACATATACTCACACAAGAACTCCGTGAATCCCACATAAACATTCTTCAAATCACCATGAAACACGGATTCGCGATAGAAGAAATGCACCACAGCCACATTTTTATTAACATACTCCATAGACATGTTGCGTAGTATACTCGGCGGCGTTAGATACTCGTAGGCACGTAATGGTGCCGACGTGGCATCCGCCTTATAACTCAGATCGAAGCAGGCGGGTAAACAACGTCGAAGACAGTTGAGTTCATCGACACCTTTCATCCATTTGTTCTCAGCCAAAAAGACGCAATACGACTCTTGTATGCCACATACAGTGGCATTTTCAAAAATTAACGGTAAATTGTAAGGTATACACTTGCACTGTTCATACATATATGTCACTTGACATTCATTCTCACAATTGCGACGCGAATAATGTGAGAAATAGAGTAAATTCTCTTCGCCATTAAAGAGACACTGACGTTCGTTGCGATGTAGCGTACGCACCATTGCTGTGGCCTCGGTGCTAATAACATCGATGCGCAGACGTGTCTCAAAGCCGACGGGCAAAATGAGCGCAGTTTCACGTATCGTGGTTACCTCTATGGCATTATGCATGCCGATCTGTGGTGTTAAGACGAGAAAAGTCTTAGCTGAAGTATCATTTGGCTAAAAGCTAAACCATAACTTCCTTACACTCCACACTCACCTTAAAACCCGGTCCATTAGTGGTGGAGCAATAGTACTCTTCCAATTCGGAATCCAAAATTAATGAAAGACCCATAGAGACGCCTGTGCCCGATGCGGCACGTGGATAATAATTTGGTGGCAGATTTTTAGGGTAACCAGTATCCGGATTCCAATCAATCGGCACACTATTATCGGCACGCTCATAATCGTTTATTATCTTTTTGGTGCTGAAATTATAAAAATTGCCTACTCGCAAATCTCGGTAGAACCCCATTTTAGCATACTTACTTGCCCTTGAAAAGAAAATCTGGATGTAAAACATTGAAAACACAACAGAGTCCCTCATCGGTCATAATTTCGCGAAATAGATCGGAGCAATTCATTACCGCCGAGCCGATTGTACATGAAAGCAGCATACGTGTGCAGGGTTGTGCGTGCTTTAGTGAGTACGATAGTGTCGCAAGCCGAGAGAAAGAGAACGATAGAGAGAGTAATTTTAACGCAGTTTGGTTAGGACAAAAGCGGTTTTACCTCTTGTAGAAAAGTTGAAAACATCAAACTGTTATTTTTGAAATTTGCTGCCTCTCTCACTTTTTCATCGAGTATGGAATCTGCGCTGCACAATAGGTTCAACAGCGCACCCTCATTGGATTCTCTGCAATTAAGTTTGGATTAGGAAATAAAAACTGGATTTACATCATGGAAGAAGTGATAGCTGCGTGGTTGGCTGGTGCTTGGTTGAAGGGCCGTGAGTGGATGGACAAACCGAAACCGGTGGCAATTCAACCCTCTTAGGAGCAGGCGAGGGAAGTCTAAGTCATCGAGCTTATCTAACGGGAGATGCAGTAACATCCAGGAACTCAACTCTTAGGACGACTGGTGCTTTGCACCGGAATTGACCTGAGTATTATCCTGCCAAGAACTGTCACTCTTTCAGAGACCGAGCCCTATTTAGATCATCAGGTAATACTAGTCTAAGTTCATGGATTAGGCTGCTTATGCTCTGCTGCTTAAAGTTATCTATTTAATGAAGTGTTTTAGTTTATACCCTCATGCCCACCCATCTCCATAAGGCTGGAACTCAGAGTACCATGAAAAAGTTGACATCTCAATCGACTGAAGGTCGAGCACTCTGAATAACCAAACACATTTTAAGGTGGATAGTCAACCCCACTTAGCCATGATAATCCCGAAAAGATTGAGCAGTAGTGTTACAAAGGCTCTTCATTAAGAGCAACTGTGCGTATTGCACAGCACGACAGTCTTAGGAATATCTGAGGCTCACAGTGATTGAGTGTCGTTAGTGGAGTCCGTTCACTATGTGCATACCAATCATTCCGCCGACGTGTCTACCATGATTTTTTGGCCACTTAGGCCATCGTGCGAACCGCGGTTATTAAACTCATTCACTAGTCGTTCTCAGAATTGAAGATTCGATGTTTCTTTGCTGCACTAATTCTTTCAAGTCTCTAAAGGTTGCCATTAAACGCCAGCTCATCATGTGCTGATTGCAACTTCTGAAACTCTTTCATGTCAAGCTATCAACCGCAACTAATAATGCTCTCATAGGAAGCTCTGCAGTGGAGAGTGGCAAGTCAAGATTCCATCGTGGATGAAATGAAAGAAGCACCTTCTTTGCACGCTCGCCCGTCGGCTCATTAGCCGACATAGAGGATCTTCCGTAAGAAGACCCAATATTCTGGAATTTTTTTTTAATTCCATTTAGATTATTTCATTTTTAGTGAGCCCGCAGATGGAGACTGGCATGTCCATTATGTTGTGGAGAAGTGTCCTTCATAGAAAAGTCTCCTTTGATTCTATTATGAGTATTTGGTACCCCGAGAAATGTGGCGGTCGCAATAGCCGAGTAGCTAGCTTTGCGTACTAGAATTGGGAAGGATAGGGTGGAGTCCTGTTCCCACCAATACCTAAAATTAAAGGAAATTATTTTTTCTAATTGCGGTCGCCCCTCGGCAGGGAATATCAAGCCATCCGAGTGTTTTGCTGACATGAAATAAAATCTCCTAAAAAAAATTCTATCCGTGTTCGGTGACGACTTAGAATAAATTATAGTTCTCTCCAATTGTTGGAGAAATATCAAGACATCACAAATTGAAGGATGAGCTCGGTTACCAAGCGCCAAAAATATATTTTATGTATACGAGGTGTGACAATTAAGTAATAAGACTGAATATATTGATTGTGGTAAACCCAATCCTTGACATTCCCATTCCTTTTCCCGGCATCCTTCTCCTCCCCATAGATATATTTGCCATCGCTCTAGCTGAATTAGTTCGCCTGCTGTGTCGGGTTGAGTAAACGTGCGTTCGTGGTGCTCGTCACGAAAATGGAAAAACGAAATCAAAAGCAACACGTCGCGATAAAATTTTGTGCCATTTGTGAAATTTGGGCGAAACAGCTTCGGAGCTTCGTACGCTAAAATTGGAAAAGTGCATGGTGATAGTGCTCTTAGTCGTGCCCAGGTGTTCCGATTACATAAAGAGCTTAGAGAGGCGTGGAAAACGATGATTGATGATTACTACCTTTTTTGATAGCCGTGGAATCGTCCACAAAGAATCGAGTCTAGTATCGGCAAGTACTCGAAAGATTGCGAAAACGAGTCAACAGGGTGTGCCCAGACATCGCTAGTAACTGGATCCTTCATCACACATACCACACCGCCCTCAGCGTGTCCCAGTATTTGGCCTCCAAAGGGTTCGCCGTGTTGCAACAGCCGCCTTGCACGCCCGATATGCCACGTTGTGCCTTTTTTTGTTCCCCAAAACAAAATCGGATATCAAAGGAAGCCATTTTGAGTCGATTGAGGACATGCAGGCGGCCGTGACGAGAGTACTCACGTACATCCCAGTCGAAGCGTTTCAGAAATGTTACGAAGCATGGAAAACGCGCTGAAATCGTTGTATAACGGGGACTACTTTGAAGGGGATGGCAGAGTTGTAGAATAATTTTGAAATCTACGGTTTTTATGGTATCAGTCTCATTACTTAATTGTCACACCTTGCATGTGGTCTCCGGGAAATTACACCCAGTTCACGGCGCACTGCTTAGCCGCCACGTTAAGAGATCTGCGACTATAATCTGCAGTTTCTAAAAAATTTGAACTGAAGAATGGCTAAAGACTTCGTCCAAAAATATCAGTCTGAAGACTACAAAACAAAGCAGTCACAGAGTGGTAGTGACAAATTCGGTAAAGCAGACGCAAGAAAAGTCGTGAAACTCTGTTCATAAGGACACTTTTAAGATTACCGTTGTATGTAGAATGCAGTAATGGCTTTGTTATGATTGGAGTCTTCACCTATAGAATTTTCATAATATTTGTCCTTCAATTTTACCAAAGATCGGCCAGCACTACTCACCGCGTATAATTCGCCACGCGACTCGCCATCACTTGATTCATATTACAAACAGTTATGGCCGGAAAGGGTGTACTCAAAATCGACGTCGGGTGTGGACTTATGCCTATAATAATCGGCGTACTAATCCACTTAGCGTAGACATTTACAATGAGATTGAAGGTGATAACAATCGCGGCCAGAAATGCACATAAAAAGAAGGATCTACAAAGGATTATAAGAAAAAAAAACATTAAATGAAAATTTTTATTTTTTTTGTAAAATGAAAGCTGCTGACTCCAAACTCACTTCTCCCAAATCGTAATACTATCGTCAGCCAAATATTTCAAGCCATGCAATGTGGTCTCGCGCAAAAACTTCTTCACATTTCCACGGCAATAAGTTTTAACAAGTTTTTTGGTGCCACCAGTATTTTCCAGTGCCATGATGGAGCTGCTCGCGTGGCGAATGTTCTTAGACAAATGAAATAATCAACTGGATTGCAGTTATATAAGTATTGTACGAATATATATATACATACACATATGTGACTACATCCCTTGATATTGATAGCCCTTGATAAGCTTGGTTATGTGTTCAGGTTAATGGTTGAGAGCTTCCGTCTCACGTGTGGGCGGTATGATTGTAAAGTAATTAGATACATACATATTTAGTTAATGATGTAAATTTGTATTTAAATTCGAAGCTAAGTGATTTTTAATCATGCATGTTTTTATTAATTTTTTTTTTGTTTAACGGTATATATTAAATTACTTGAGAAATGTAACGAAACTCAAGCTCAACTCAGTTGCGCCGTACTAGAATAATATTTGAAAGGTTATTTCCTTCAAAGTGATAGGTGCCATAGATTAAACGGCATCGCTCCTCAGGAAGAGCCCAACCTCAATGCTGTCGAAGACTTTGGATCTATAAGACCACAGGCCATGACCATGTTTAGAAGAAAAAGACATCCGCCCTTAGCCGCACGTTTGGGAACGAGCTAAAGTAAGAAAACGGGCTCAAGTGAAAAGTCGAACTCAGGACCCGCCACAGAAAAAATCTGCTTTAATACAAAAATAAACGATAAGCCTCGGTGTGGCTATATCCGAGTAGTTAGAGTTGAGAGTCATTAGTGCTTGCTCGCCCACAAACGTTTTACGGATCTCAATTGGAGGGAATGTACTTGGAATGTCAGGTCCTTAAATTGGGTAGCTGCTACTGCCCAGCTGATTGATGCTCTCATAAAAATCAAAACTGACCGCATTGCCATCGAAGAATTGCCATGTACACGTACAGCACGATGGAAGAGAGAATCCTTCACGGAGACCTGTCGAGAACACCGCCGAAATGTGAACTGATTTCCAAGCTTTCCATGTATCACCGCTAGATGAACAATTAAATTTCGGAAATGGTACAAAGAACAAACGCAGATAGATACCAACAACTGAAGAGAGAAGAAATAGCGATTTACAGGCAGAAATTGAAAGATATGAATTGCTTGAGAAGCTGACTAACGGAGTATTGATGCATATTTCAAGACCAGTACATAGTCATGTGAGAACTATGGTTACTGACTCCAGAATTATGCTGATTTCATGAAATTAACACTTCTCCAACCTCCCCAGTGACAGTGATAGCGTAACACCCTGAGATGATGACCCTGAGTTCCCAGTCATTGACGATGATATTAGCGTACCGTCACTCAATTATGACGAAGTTCTACTAGTAATTACTCGGTTACACCGATGACCCATTAATTGAACTATTCAAATATTTGTAGATTATGGTCGAACAAAAGCTTGCCCGATGATTGTAGCCTATTTACGGTTAACTCTATCAGATATGCTGCGGCATTTCTGCAGTTCAGTGATTGAAGTAGAGGAAGAGAAAGTCCTACAATCTTCAATTTCTTGAAAACACTACAGGAAAATGTAAACAAATAATTGCATATTTTTTTGCTTAGTTTTTTTTTATTATTGAATAAACGCCATCATTTGTTAATACAATTCTTCAAAACTTTTATTTTCTAATAGCAATGCCATACACCTTATCCAAAGACCACAGACATGAAGCTTAGCTGGAAGAGGGTGCAGCTGTGGTGGTGGTAAATGGACATAATGGCGATTGTAAGGCGCAAAGTAATAAAATCAACGTTGATTCTGCAGCAGGCACACTTGCCAACAACAAAGTGGCGATCAGTAGTAGTGAAATGAAAAATACCGATGACTGCATTTTCTTATTTAGTTTCCTTTAAAAACTCCGATACCGTTCAACTTGACCGTTAGACGCGGTGTATGATTAATTACTGAGAATGACTTACAAACTATAATCGTTCTTTATATACAAATTGGCAACAATAGCCGGGTCTCACTACTAATATACGTAAGCGCCTAAGGCAAATATTTGTATTTATTGATACAGATGCTTGCAATAGGCATTATAATTCAGTAGATATTAGAAAAATAGAAAAAAAAATATTTCTATTTATTTCAATGATGACAACATGTTTGTTTATTTTGCTTACGGTTTAGCGCATATGCTTCGGACGTCAACTGGGGCAGTAATTGGAGGAATTAGGTGAAAATTTTTAATTATATTTTCCTTTGTACTGTTAGTTTTATAAATTGCCTTCGGTTAAGTAAAAGCACAGACTGTAAGTGGGAAAGTTCTATTTTAAACGTTCTATTTTAAAGTTCTATTTTAAACATTATGTTAAAAAGATATGACAGGAAAAGATTTTAGGAAATTATGCTCATAATTATTCCACTTCTGATATTTAACAGCTTACCATTGAAATTTCTTGAAAAACTAATACTTCAAAGGGCTCCACACAATAAAACAACGTCTCAACACTTTTATAATAAGAATGCGTAACAAATGAGATTTTTATTACTTATAACAAGTTGCAGTATTTTTATTCCGGTAAAGCATGATGTATGTTTAAAATAAATTTAGCTTATAACTGTGAAATCAAATACACTTAAATTTATAGTAATGAAACTTAATAATATTGTTTTGGTTTGGACAACATCAATTAAGATTATGACACCTTCACTTTACGTATAACAGATTTACACTCATCATTACGAAAGACACGATGGTAAGTAGTTATTTTACCTAAAGTTGATATGAAATCATCATCGTGTGTAATGATAATTAACATAAAATTCGATTGCATACGTCTTTCATCGACAATTCGATTCAACGCCTCACACAAAGATAAAATATTATTACGATCTAAATTGGTGGTCGGTTCATCCAATGCCAACACACCACAATTGCTGCTGAAAGTTTCTGCCAACGCCATACGTATAATTAACGAAGCCAACACACGTTGACCGGCACTGCAACGGCCACGCATATCAATCTCTGAGCTATTCTTCGACTGGACAACACGATATTTATAGTTGCGACGACGATCAGCATTTGCATTCATATCTACTTCATCGGCTTGTATTTGTATGTAGTCAATGTCGTTGCCACGATAAATTAGACGCCAATATTCACGTATAAGCCGATTTATATGTTCCATTTTCTCCGCATGGAATTTCATTAGTGACCACTCCAAGCTGATTTTACTCTCACCAAGATCCTTAATAAGTTGACGTGATGTATCGACTTCATAGTAGGCACGACGATAATTTTCATGTGAATTCTTGAATTTCGACTCATTTATTTCGCATTCTAATTTCTTTACTTGACTCTTAACTTCACCGATTTTGCCAAGTAATTCTCCTTTGCGTTCGGTACCTAAAATAATAGAAAAAATAAAAATAAAAAAAATATTTTATTTACATGAAAAAGAGCACGTAAAAATACCTTTCTCGCGTTGTTTAATTAAAGCATTCTTCTCTTGTGATAGTTTGGGAAAATCCATTTTTCCCAATTGCTTGGCCAAAGCTTCAACTCGAGTATCAATGTCTTTCTTTTTCTCTTGCAATTTTTTCAATTCACGATTATCCTTCAAGTCGCGCTCAAGCGTTTCTTGTTGCAGACATTCGGTTTTGATCACTTCAAGTTCATTCGACGTTTTGCAGATCTCTTCGGCCTGAAAAAATCACACAGAGCGTTTTATAAAAATAAGTGTGGAATATTTAACTCCTATATTATCTGTACCTTTGCTTCAACATCTGCTTTACACTTTTTTATTGATTCTTTTAACTCATCGATTTCGGTGGCAAGATTTAAAAGTTGAAATTCGAGTACTTCGGTATTTAGCCTGAGGAAAATATTCGAAAAGCAAAATACTAATATTATAGAAATACTACCCAATGTTAACCGCTCACCTCTGTATCTCGTGATCCATTTTCTTAAATGCATTCAATTCGGTTTGCATTTTAGCAACACGCTTACGTGAAGCATCTAACAGACGATTCTTCTCAGCTAATAATGAACTCAACTTTTGCTTTAGTGTAGGCAATTTTGTTTTTAGTATTTTAATCTCAGCAGTTTTGCTCTCGATTAAATTTTTTAACTCCGTTTGACGCTCTTGCAATTGAACCAGAGACTGCTGCCCTTCCTGTAGTTTTATACGTTCATCTTGATAACTGAAAGTGACGTTTTTTGAAAATAAGAAAACATGAAGTTTATTTAATACAGTTAAATGATTTCCCTTTTTCTACTTTTTGTACTCACGCATTTTTCTGTTCTTGCATTTTATTCAATGCATTTACAATCTTCTCCAAATTCGCCTGCTTCTCCTCTAATGTATGACGCTCTGCATCGAGCTCCTCAGAAATGCTCGTTTTCAACATTTGCAAATCTTCTATATTGGCATCGGACTCGAAATCTTCGGGTAGTTTTGTCTGAGAATTTAATATTTCGATATTAGTTTTTTTTATGATTTTTTTAGTTTTCTAAAAAAAAATATTTTACGTAGGAATGTTGTTTTTAATTCCAGTTAATAGTGACTACATGTATATTTCTTAATAAAAAAATATTACGATTTTTTCAATTTTTGCTCTCTCATTTTTCCCTTTATTTTAATTACTCTGCGTTTTTTTTTAATTTTCTTCTATATATTTTTTGTTTTTTTTACTCTTTAATTTTTTTATGTTTTTCATTTTTGGTTTTTTTTTTTAATTTTTTTTATATTAATTTTTTTCTTATATTTTTAAGTTTTAATATTTTTTTAAATATCTTCTAATTTTTAAATTTTTTTAAAATTGTAAGACTTTTTTTTTATTCATTTCTTATCAATTATTTCTTAATAAAGAAAATATGAATATTTTTTTATTTTTGCTATCTCATTTTTCCCTTTATTTTCATTACTCTTTTCGTTTTTTTTTTTAAATTTTCTTCTATATTTTTTCTTGTTTTTTTTTACTCTTTAATTTTTTTTACTCTTTAATTTTTTTTTATTTTTTTTGTTTTTTTGTTTTTTTTTTATAATTTTTTATATCTTCATATTTGTTTTTTATTAATTTTTTTCTTATATTTTTAAGTTTTTTTATTTTTTTAAATTTCTTCTAATTCTAAAATTTTTTTGAATTTGTAAAACCTTTTTTGTTTTAATCATTTCTTATTAATTTTTTGTTAAATTTTTTCTACTAACTTTTATTTCCTTAAAATTTTTTTAAATTAATTTATTTTGTGCTCTTTTTAATTTATTTATTATTTGTTTTTTACATTTTTTAATTTATTTATTATCAATTTTTTACTTTTTCCAATTTATTTATTATTTATTATTCATTTTTTACTTTTTTCAATTTATTTATTATTTATTATTCATTTTTTACTTTTTTTAATTTGCATTTTTTTATTTTCTTTTTTTTTTTACTTTTTAATTTTTTTTTCCATTTCAAAATTTTTTTTAATCTTTATTTTCTCTTTATTTTATTTTTTTTAATATATTTCTAAGTTTTTTATTTTTAGAATTTATTTTAATTTTTTTATTGATTTTGTTTATTTTTTTAAGACTTTTTTATATATTTTTTAATTCTTTTCATGTATAATTTTTTAATTCATTTTATATACAATTTTTTATTTTTTTACCTTTTAAATATTTCTTAATATTAATAAATATCTATTTTTTTTTTGTGATTTAACTACGAGAGTTCGAAAGTTTTATTTATTTTTTAGCATTAAAATATTTTCTATATTCATACTCACATTTAATTGTGCAACATCATTTTTCAATCGCGTAATCTCTTTCATAGCTTCATCCAACAATGAAACATCGCCCATCATCGAATCGGCCAACTCTAGCGCTGTAGTCGGCTCGGCTAAAAGTAATTGCTGTGATTCACTCTCTTCAACACATTTTGCCAACTTTTCCTCAATGCAAGCGAGCTCTTTCTTTTTCTTTGGAATATCTCCTTCCAATTTGGAAACAGTTTCGACCACAGATTTAATATGTAAAAGATTTTCATATTTCTTTTGTTCTGCTTTCAGCAACTTCTCGGTACGTTTTATATTCTCTGGCAAGCGGTTGATCTCATCAGATAACTCCATAGTTATATCGCTGGCCTTTGAGCGTGAAAGAAATATATTTTTTTTTTTTCAATTAAAGAAACTGAAATGTTCTAATTAACAAACCTCATTTTCCGTCATATCTTTATGGCAAAGCGGACAACATGGCTCTTCGGTGACTTTTTCTATATATCTACAGTTATACATAAAATAAGCATATAAAAATAAATAAACTACACGTTTTAAGCTATTTCTGTTGGGATTTTTTTGTTTCTACCTTTTATACATCGCTTCTGCTGAGAGCAATGCGCCATGTTCGCTTTGATATTTCGCCATGGTCGCTTTACTCTTAGCCAACGTATCTTCATAGGAGGCTGCGTGGCAAGCCTCGTAAACCTTTTCTTTTGACTCTTCAAGCTCTTTTTCTAGCTTTAATAATTCACTCTTTAAATTTTTGCGTTTTATCTCACACGATTGTTGTTCCAGTTGCAATTTGTTTGACTTTGCGTTGAGTTCTTTGATTGTGTCACGCAATTTATCACCACATAATTGTATTGCGCGCCTGTAATTGGACTCTACCGGACGGCTAAGTAGTTTCTTAAAGTTATCCGCATGTTTGCCCTTAACGCGTCGTACATCCTGCTCTTTCTTTTCCAACTCCTTTTGTTTCAATGTTATCTCAGCCATCAACTTGGACATCATATTCAATTTCGTTAGACGTTCATCAAGCTCACGAAACTGCTCTTGCAACTTTCCAATTCTCGCTTTATTCTCTGCAATATCAGTTCTCATGGTTTCTTGATTACATTTACCATTCATTTCGTCCATCATTTTTATTAGACGATCTATATTATCCGAAAGAATTTTTATACGTCGTGCTGAGCTTTCTATTTCGGCAATCTCTTTCATGATTGATTCTAATTCCTTTTCATTTTGATTTTTTTGTTTCTCATGAGTGACAATGCCCTCCTCGACTTTGGTGAGCTCCACGCGTTGTATGTCTATTTCACGCTGTCTTTCACTATCCTCTTTATCGTTTTGTGCAATACTTTCTGCTATACTGCATTCTTTATTCATTAAGGAATTCTCGATTCTTTCAAGCACAACAGGCACACTTTCAGGCTGAAATTCTAAATCCTCAGTGAGTGTAATACCCAAATTTTGGCAGAGCTCTTTCAACTGTTCGGCACGTTTCGAAATGCATTCCTGTTCCTTCTGGCGTTGCTGCATCAGCAGTATACGCCTTTTATCCAAATCGGTAAAGCGTTTTTGAAACGTTTTCTCTTCTTGTTTCAAATCGTTCACTTTTTTATCAAGCACATTTCGACGTTGACGTTTTTCTAGCATTTTTTGTCCGAAGTCTGAAATTTCTTGTTCCAACTCTTCGCGGCTACCTTCGAATGGTACTTTGATATTACTGCTTAAAGCACGTATATGCTCCTGACAATTTTTTTGCCTGCATTGCATTAAATTAGAAAAAAAACAAGCTTTTTGATATTCTAAATCGTAACTTACTCAGTTTCTATCTCGACCTTTTTCGCCTGATACTTGCCAACCTCATACTCTACGTTGCGTATTTCCAACAAACGTGCATCGATTGGCTTCATTTCTTCTTCGCAACGTTCGCATTCGTGTTCTATAGCTGTGCACTTCTCTTGGGCCTTCTTCAAAGTCAATGACTTATCATCCATTTCTTGCTTTAAGTGTGCAAGAAGACGCAAATCAGCCTCTGTGGAATATGATGTAGAATAAAATTGTAGAGGTTTTTATTCTAGAAAATGGCTAGACAAGAGTGAAAACAACTGCAATTATTTTACCTTTAACTTTTAACTTGTCAACCTCCTCTTTACGCATTTTTATTATACGCTCAATTGTTTTATTGAATTCAGTTATACCGAATATAGCATCAAATTTATCTTTTAATTTCTTCGATTCATCCAATGGCCAATTGGAATCCTCCTGATGACAGAATAGCACATTATTGATTATAGCTTTGGAAACACCTACAGAGAAAGTACTTTTAGCATATTATGCATATAAATATTTCTTCAAAGGATTTACTCTACATACCCATAAATTGACACATAGCCACATCGACATCTACACAACGTTTACTAATGGAATTCGTAGCACCCTTACTATCACCTTTGCCATCTATATAATTCATAGTCGCATCTAGCGTTTCAAATGCGTACTTATTGCCACGCTTATTAGTAATTTTCATTGACCGACAAACGGAAATACGTTTGCCTTGCAAATTGCTGACTTCCAGCTTAACTTGAGCCAAGGTACCTGCTTGATTGAATATTTTTGGATCATGCACAAAGCTGCGACCATGATCACTGCCCGGCGGTAATTCACCGGTTAGTCCATATTTCAAACATTCTATAACGGTAGTCTTTCCACAACCATTCTCACCCAGGATTAGTGTCACAGGCGAAGAAAATGTAATAGTCTGCAAAAGAGTTCGTCGTAAGTAATATGAGCCAGTGGCAGTACAAGCAATAAAGAAGAAATGCGCATATTCAGCTGAACGCTTGCTTTTCAATATTAGTCCTTACCTGCACATCTTCCGAATTGGAACCAAAACTACGAATACCTTGTATTGATAGTTTTTCAATAGTAGACATTATATGATATTTTTTTAAGCGCAAAATTTCACAACAATTCAAAAACAAGTCACAACAAATATAATGCGAAATTTCGACGTTTTGCCGGGTACAATTGTAAAGGTTGCCAGGTATTTTTTTTTTTTTTTTAAATTTAATTGAAACAAATTAAAGGGACATCATTCTTAGTTTTGACAAATCAATTTTTTTTTATTATTATAGTTGAGAAAATTATTAAAATAATACAGAAAATTTACTGTTTTTTTAATTTGCTTTTAATATTGAATTGTCAACGATTTTTTAAGAATATGTTAGAAAGGGTATTCGCAGATAATTTTTTAAATTTTATTTTTTAAATTTTAGATTATTTTAATACTTTTGGTTTAATTTTTGAAAAATTAATAAAAATAGCATTTTTATTTTTTTTCCATTATTTCAGATTATTATAAAGAATCAATAAGTCGTTCGAGATAAATCGAAACAGAGTTCGGTTCTAAATTCCATATACTAAGCACAATCCACAATTACCTTGACCTTTCCTTGAAGAACGGTTTCAATTGGGATTGAGCTAATAAATGCATGCTTCGAAATGCGTAGGGAAAAAAAAGAATTTAATGCGAAACAAATACATATATATAGGAAGATAAATAGCTTTTTTAATATTTATTATTATATTGAGATTTATTTTCAATTTTTCAATTCAACGATTATTCGTACATGAGAGTATCATTATTATTTTTTTTATTATAAATACTTATAGTACTAAATTAATCTTGAAATTTTAGATCTCTTCATTTGAGTCAATTATGTATATATTTATATATATATATGCATAATTTTATTCAAGTATGTATTATTTTGTTTCTTTATTATAGAGGCAATGTCATAAATTTATGTAGTTATAGTATGTATGCAAGTGTAAATTTAGGTAAGTGTGTAAATGTGACAATTTATAAAGTCTACGCGTTCAAAAACATGGCTTGGCTTTTACAATTTATTAGTTAATTTATTTATGTACAAATTAATTGCTTCTGTCGTACATAATTGGCCACAGCTTTTTTCTATTTGAATCCATTTGAGGCATTTTCACTTTATTTGCGTTATAATTGTCACATTTTTTTAGTATTGTTATTGTTTTGTTTTATTCTTTTGCTTTTAAACTTGTATATATTTACGTATGCATATGTAATAAACGCATAAAAATTATATTCATTTTAAACATAACAAACTTCAAAGTTAAATAATATACGAATATTATAAAAAAAAAAACATTGGCATTAGCTGCAATACAACAGTAACGTTTATAGGAAACTATTATAGTTTCAAAGATTATGTATCCATATTTGTGAATTCGGTAAAATATAATAGAGCTACATTACAAGCGATGAAATAGAATTTTTTTAATTATAAATAAAATATTAACATTTCATTTTTAAAACCGTTTCGTTCATTTAGAGCAATGTTTTATAATTGCTTGTAACATAACACACTTGTATTGAACGCAAAACAACGCGCATTTCTAACATATCAACCGTAATGATGAAAAGAACTTTGTTTTTGTTTTTTTAGTATACATGAATATTGAGATTAATAAATACTCTTTAAGAGCATTATAAAATATTATTATATAGAGGGTTACAAACATTTCAATTACATAGCATAATTTTTATAAAAGAAATAAGAAGAAAATCGGCAGAGTTCCTTACATTTGGTGATGCAAAAAACAATGTAATAAATAAAAACGAAGTATAGTTTAAGGCTACTCATAAAAATGTGTATATATGCATGTGTATCGCGTTATTTTGACAATACACATCGAAATGTTTTTTTAAACCATAAGTATATACATAAGTAATAATGAATGTTTTTTTTATGTTTATAAATGTCAAGTATATGTATATCGTATGTATGTATTTATGCATTGTATAATATATATATATATATATATATGTATATATGTATAACTACGTCTATATAACGCAACCAGTACACTAGTCAACAAATGAAACATTGGTCAGCCGTAATGCTAACGTTATAGGGTTAAACAATATTATGTATGTATATATGTATATATATATATGCATGCAAATGCATGTTTACATAGGAAATATGGAAAAGGAAGCAACAAAAAATAAACTTTCCGAAATCCATATATGTTTATATACATATATATATTTATAAATAGTTTTCCATTATTTTTTAATATATTGATACGGCGGCAATGATGAACGGTATCTTAAATTATTTGCGTTATTAGACGTCATGCCGCCACTATTCATGACTGGTCCACGCCCACTAAAATTTGATGAACTTTGCATCATACCCGATGGCGAAGCGTTTACAATGGCTTGTGGCGGCATTGCTGAGTGCATTAAGCTTGAGCGTTGGGCAGCTGCAAATATTCAAATGCATATACATTATCATATAAAAAAGTTATTGTATTTACCTGGCACATAAGGTTTGTGTGGATGGTAGTTGTTGTTATTCGAACGATAATAGACAGTCTCATCATTATAATGGTAATTATGAGATTGTTGTTGATATTTTGGCCTAAAAATAAAATGAAATAATTTGAGTAATTAATTGTATATGTAAAAAACCTTTTTAAAACATTTACCTATACATGCCACTGCCTCCAGCTCCACCACCTGAACGATGATTTGAATTATTATTATTACCGCCTCCTCCGCCACCAACTGTATGAGCATTATTTTGCTGTTGCTGCTGCTGCTGTTGTTGACGTATAGTGATTTTTTTAGCCGCCTCGGGATCTTCCATCAATTCGCGAAACTGTTCTTGTCTTATATCATCATGCTTGTCTGGTATCAAATAGCGACGAATTTCTGCTAGAGCATATGCAATGCGAGCATAAGCTTCAGCTGGTGGGGCAACAGTTGACACTTCGACATGTAATGGCAAATTGAGATGAGCATATTTGGCATCAGCTGAGTTGCGTAGTTCCTCCTCGCGTACGCGATCTTTCATTGAAAAACGCCCGAGTATAACAATTTTGCATTGTGTTTCCTCTTGAAGGCGACGCAGTGAATTACCCTTGGGACCAAGTAATTTTCCAACGTAATTAAACTACCATGAAAAATATATTAATTTCCATTAAATATTTACCACGTAATTAATAGACATTCAAATTATGTAAATATTTGTTAATTTTACAAACCTTCTTATCTTTAATTGGAACGTGCACCTTTTGTGACAGTCTGATAGTTCTTTGCTGATAAACATCAGCATATTGTTCACGCGTGGGTATACGTCCATTTAGCTGTATACGCTCCAAAGCTACAAGACACATATAAATTTTGTGTAACTTTCGTGATATGTAATTACGTTACCTTCATCGATCAACTTGACAGCTAGTGGAAAATGGTTTTCCATACGTGATCGCTCAGCAAGCAGCTCCTGCATGTACTTCTGTGCAGTCTCATTTAAGCGAGTAGCACCTTTAAGGGTTTCCTGCCCAAGCTCGTGTTCATGATTTCCATTACTATAGTCGCCAACATCTGCACCGCTTGCGCCTCCTCCAACACGCATGCCATTTTCCGTCATACCGTTACTACCCCTCTAAATTGCTCGACAGTATTTTCACAATAAAACTTACCACTCGCTTACTTTACACTTATGCTTATGTTAGTGCATCTACACAAACTCTATTTCTTACCAATTATGTACACTTAATTAACAGAAATATGATAATTTAAAAAAATAGAGAACGGCATATATGCTGCAAGGTAGACTAAAATCTGTCAATTTTTACATTAATTTTCCTCCCCTTGAAACGGCGAACACTATTTTGACATTTTTCACAATCATTCGCCACAAAAGCAGAGATGCCAAAGGTTAGATGCAATCGCATGAATGCATGCGGAAATGCAGCTGTGTAATTCAAACAATTTTATTGTTAAAATATAAAGTTGGTCGGAATTTCAAACAAATGTCGGACAAAGTATTAAAAATTATTGGTTGAAACTAATAAAAGTATAACAGTGTGTGCATATTTTGTTTAATTAATTTATAAATCAATATCTTAATATTTCTTATTAGAGAACCAGGTTTGTGTGCACTTCCGACTCCGAATTCAGTCTAGCCTCTACACTTTATTATGAATTTGGCAGCACTTTTTCAGTCTCCATCTTTTTTTCGCAAAAGAAAAAACTGTGCTTGTGAAAATTTGTTGAAAGTGTAAAAATACATAAAAGTTTTGAAACTACTGCTGCATTTTTTGAAAAAAATAGCTAATTAATAAATATGCCACGTGATTATGATCGGGATTACAATGACGATACCAGTGATTACAAAAGGAAAAGACGTACAGACGATGAAGCCGGTGGCGGCAGTAACGCGGGCGGTGGAAGTAGTGGTGATATGGATGGACATGGACGCGGCCAAGACCACAGCCAAACTATGCAATCTCATGATGCACCGCCATTAAATGAAAAAACAAATTCTTATCTGGAACAATGCGAGCAGGAGAAGAAGTCTTTGAGCAAGGATAGTACTGTTTGTAAGCGTTTAATAGACGATGGTAAGTTGGTGTGGGCATGTTTGGGGGGTGGTTCTGCAATTTTTTTGTGTACACATATATGTATAAGTATATCTGTATGTATCCCACAACTAAAATTTTGTTTTCTTTTTAGAAATTGAGAAAATTTTAGTCAGTGGTCGCATACCAAAGTCGGAAATTTATGCCAATGTATATAGCGAAAAGCCAATACGTGTCGCACAAAAAGTATTATTCCCCATTAAGGAATATCCGAAATTTAATTTTGTTGGTAAGATATTGGGTCCAAAAGGTAATACCTTGCGTCAACTGCAGGAGGAAACGTTTTGCAAAATGGTCGTTATGGGCCGCAATTCTATGCGTGATCATGCGAAAGAAGAGGAATTACGAAATTCTGGCAATCCTAAGTATGCGCATTTAAGTCGTGACTTGCATGTGGAAATATCAACCGTGGCACCACCATCTGAAGCATACCATCGTATGGCTTATGCTTTGTCTGAAATACGAAAGTTTATGATACCCGATGCTAACGATGACATACGCATGGAGCAAATGCGTGAAATGGACGGAAAAGAGCGTATGTACAAAAAAACCCATTACTCGAAATCATATGGTGACCATGCTGTCTATAGCTGTCGGTGAGTTAAAATAAGTAAAAATCAGCTTTCTTATTACAATGTTTAAAAGTTTATACAATTTTTACGAAGCTTGGGTAATAGTAATTTGAAGCATTGTTATAGCCCAAAGATGACTTTTGGAATTTTTCTATTGTTCTTAAATATTTTTAAATAAATAATATCTAATTATGGATATTTTAGCACCCCGCCACCACCCACTTTCGAAAAATCGTCTAAACCGAAGGTGTATTCCATACTAGAGAAAGCTCGATACGTAATGGAAGATCCTGGCTATGGACTTGTAAAATCGCACAGGTCTGAAGGAAAATTAAGTTTTTTATACACAAATATAAATATAAACATTATTTTAAAAATTTAACAGATCTCGTGATCACGAAATGTATGAACACCATGGTGAATATGATCGTTATACGCCGCCGCCACCTACAAAGCATTCAAGTACACATCATGCTCCATATGAAAGTGGTTCATATGAGCGTGATTATCGTCGTGAATATCACCCACACTCATCTTCGTACACTGCTGCATATGCAGGTAAGTTACAAACTTAATAAAAACAAAAATAGAACAAACAATATCAAATCTCTACAAAAAAAAAATTAAACTTATAACCGACACGTGTTAAAAAAAAAAAAGCAAAAAGAGAAAACAAAACACATTTCTAAATCACGTGATTGAACTGCGTCAATACACAATACGCGAAATGTACAAAAATATTAAAGAAATATCGTATCTAATTCCTATAATATCGTTTCGTAAAGCATTAGCAAAGTTTAAACTACGAAAATAAAGCAAAAGAAAAAAGAACGAATTTAAATAAAGTGCAATTAAAATACAACAATAGAACAATATCAAATGTTGAAAAAACTATAAATAAAAATCTTTAAAACACACTTCAAAAAATTAGTAAAAAAAAAAAATATAATAAATTACAGAAAATTTCTCCTAAATTATATAAATACATGCTTTCAAGAAAATACCTAAAGAAAGGAAAAACGGTAAAGCGAAAAAATACATACTTAAAGCTCGTAAATGTCAAAAATAGCTGTTCCAAATACAAATGCCATTAGTTATTTAAATTCGTTATATCTTAGAAAAATAATCTAAAATATTAAAACCAAGGGAGTCGCAGTTTTTAAACAAACAGTAAACTGTATAGCTTCATAAAACCAATAAAAATTTACAATATTTCAAAATGCACAAAAAACATAAAAATATAACGAAAACACAAAAAATTCTCTCCAAATTAGCCAAACCAAGCAACGGTCGTTCTTCATCTTCATACAGACCAGCAACATCGGGATCACACTCGTCCTCACATTATGAAGCAGGATCTCGCTCACGGGAGAGCGTACGTTATCGTTCGGCCCCATATCCGAAATTGCGTTAAGTAAAGTAAAGGTTCTAAAGCGTTTTAGACAACAAAAGAGCAACAAGAATTCAATTATGTACGAAAGCCAACCGTATTAAAAATCAACACAACAGCAACAACAACAATATGTGTTATTTTTATCTTTTAATTTCCCAATATGAAATATCCAAATAAACAAGCAACAAAAAGGGCATACTTACATATACATATATATAAATTATATCAACTTTCAATGGTAGAAAATACATATACATACATAAAAGAGGAAATAAAACATAAAATATTGACGTTATATAAAAATATTAACATAAACCCAATAAATTATACCAACATCTCTAATTTTAATTAAAAATAATTAAAATAACGCGTTACAAAAAATTTTAAGAGAACAACAACAAAGAAATTCCTATAAATATGAAATTTGAAATTCAAATGAAAGTCATTAATGTATATTTTACAATATTGAAGCGTTATTATAGCCACCTAAAAACAAACAAACTAAATTAAAGATTCAACAGAAAGAAACTGGCAAAAAAAAAGGCGCAGCAATGAAAAACATAACTACTCAATTAAATTCATTATATAATAATAAAAACTCGACGAGTAAGCAAATGATAAAAAAAAATTAAAAAGAAAATTAATAGAAATAAGAAGAAATTAAAAATATGTGTGTGCAGTGTTATCCTTGGAACGTAAGTATTTACCGAGGACAATTAAACTCACAATTACCCTGATGATAATTGTCTAAATGATTGTACAATAACGTACAGACTGTATACAAAATATCAAGAAAAATAATGGAAAACGAAATTGAAAAATTCACATGTGTTAGATAAACATAATACATACATATATATATTTTAAGTAATACGCTATGAATAAATCTCAAATAAAAATTTTGGTTTTTCATTTAAAAGGCAAAAGGTAAGACTTTATACATATGTAAGTACGAATTATACTTATTTAGCGACATCCTGAAGAAGATACAAAAGGTATTGAAACAAACGTTTTTGCTTTTATTTAAACGGCCGAAAAGCTCAACTAAACTACCTGATATTAAATTTTTTAAGAAAAATTGGTTAATTCAAAAGCTACATTAACCAAATCAAACCAATTTTCACAGCTAATTGTGTATTCTTATAATTTATTACAAATATAAATATAATATATAAAAAGTTAGCATTAAAAATTCATTGCGCCATCCAGAAACATTAAACTATCCACTGACGATATGGCCAAATCTACATCCCGTTTCTGTACTGTCTTTTTCTTAGATTGTGTTGTATATGAAAAAGCTTCACGTGCCAGCGATTCTATAAACAGTTCCGTTGAACGTGCAACCACAAAGACAGCTTCATTTGAGGCAATGTTCAGATCGGGATCTAACTTCATTAAGTTCCTTATACGCGATAGCGGCAGTTGGAACAAGCGAGCCTCTGGTGCGACATTTTCGCTAGCACCATTTACTTTTTCTGAAAAAAGATGGATTAAAAATTTTTAATGATTTATTTTTTTTTAACTTTGACGTTTCTTGCCTTCCGAAGCCGCTTCAACAGCTTCAACATTATCCGCTATTTCAACTTCTGCCTCCTTTTCCAAAATCTCAGTTTTCTCCTCTTCATTAAAGTTCTTGTTTTTAATTTCCTCGGATAATTCTGCAGGAAACAATTCTTCGCTTGCCATCTTCTTTTTTTTTTTGTTGTCAACCCGCGTAAATAAATTTTAATAAATGATGTTTTATCAGCTGATTGGCTGTAAATAAAGAAAGTGGAGTTACCATTATACAATTATCAAACAGAGAACCTAAAAACAAAGAACGTATATGAATAGAAGCGCAGGCCGATAGCCTCCGTTGCTAGTTGCCTTAATCTTGTAATGTAATTATTTATAATTATATTTCAAATAAATAATAATAATAAGCGACAAGACTCATAGCAAACAACGTATATGCATAAGAAGCTACAAGACTCATACATTAATAAATGTTCTTTGACTGTTCTTAAGCAAATCAACGAAATAATTTAACAAGATTGAGCAAGATGATATAGTGGAGAAGTAATAAACTTATATAGTTTAAATTTTTTCAAATTTTTATAATAATAAATCCAAGCTATGCAAAATATCGCACGCATTTTCAAACACATTAGCGTGTGAAGAGTTTGTGTGACCATTCACAATGGCATTAATTGGTGAAATACAAAAAACTCAACAACATTTGTAGTATTTTTCTTGCGAATTTTGAATACATTCATCAGTTTGCTCATTGTTGGAAAAATCGAAGCGGTGAATCGGAAAAGTCGTCGGACGTTGCATTTTCCGACAATTAAAAGTTATTATTTTTTGTTAAAGGTAATAAGAAACGCAAAAGAGTTTATTAAACATATAAGTGCGTTGAGTAAATAAATTTATGTACAATACTTGAGGATATTAAAAGAAAATTGTATTGAGTATATCGGTGGGTGAAATTGCATTACTTCTTGCCGATGTCTGCAGTTGCATGCATAGAAAAATATTTGTGAATGTCAGTGTTGTGAGAAAGTGCTGGGTGAAAATGGTTACACGGTTACTTTTCCGTAAAGTGAAATAAAAGATAAAAAAACTCGTTTACAAAATATCTAGTTAAATATTTGTAATATTATTTATTAATTATACTATTTGAATCATAACGTTCATGACAACGCATATATATTTATTTGCAATTCATGCAAAAGGGCAAAAGAGTTCCAACGATCCGGTTAATTGCATCGTTACTCGTCGGTGCAACTGCATGCATAGCAGAAGAAAAGATTGATAGGCTACTGCAAAATACAACTTAATTTTTTCTATACACCGAAGGTGAAAGTGATGAACAGTTGAAGAAAACCTACATTTAATATTAAATGTAAATTCTTGCTTTATTTAAACAAATTTCGTTTGTATTAAATGTTAATTGGTGCAGAATACCGGAAATAGTGAAACGAATAGTAATATCAATATTTTTCTTTGTTGTTGGCTGTTATAAATCTATATACACACACGTATGCACACATAGGCGTATATGTATATACTTTCAACAATACAACTAGGATATTAATTGGCATTTAATATATTTTCTTTTTTTCTTTTTCGGTTTTTTTGGCTTTTGAATTTTCCAGATTTACTTTCGTATTAGGTTTCCCCTTCACTTGACTGATTGAGTCGCAGTTGCCGTTCCGTTTTTTAACATTTTGTGAATTGAGATAACTACTTTTTGGGGCTGCTGCTTTCCACACGTCAGTGTTGAGTGCGCGGCGTGAACATTTGTTGCTGTTCTTGCCCGGTTGCAAGATGACTGACGTCTACGACGGCAACGGTGACTACGCAGCATACAACGATGATGACGACTACGGCAGCAAGCAAGGGCGTAAGGGTGGTTGCGTACCGGGAGTAGATCCTCACAATGGTGATAGTTCAAATCATGATCTACATCATCATGTAGGTGGTGGTACTGGTGTCAGCGGTGGTATGGGTATGATGGGTGGCGGAGGTGGTGAAGGTGGCCAGTTGAACGATAAAGCAAACGAATACATACGCGATTGTATGGCGGAGAAAAATCGCATGGATAGAAAGTTTCCGATTGCCGAAAAGCTAATGGATTGTGGTGAGTCCTAGCGGTAGCATCAAATTTATGCAAAATGATAGTTAAATTATATTTGAAAATTTATTTTTGATTGAAATGTCCCATAGATATTTAGTAGATATGTATGTACATATGTGATTAAAGTATAAAACATTTTTATTTAATTAATTACCCACTATTCGTCACAAGAAAAATGTAAAAAGTGTTTAAAAAAGTAACGTAAAGAAAGTATATAAAGTAAAGAAAAAATTTAATTAAAAACAAATAGAAACAGTGTCTTTTGCTATCAAATAAAAAAATGTTAAATGTAAACTCAAAGAACAAAAAATAAGTACATGAAAATTTTAAAATAAAACTACATACATACATTCATATTTTTCTTATTTTATACATATGTATATTTTTTAATTTTAATATTTCAGAAATTGAGAAGGTGCAATCGATGGGTCGCATACCGCCCCGTGAACAAAAATACGCGGATATTTATAGAGAAAAACCATTGCGTGTCTCTCAAAAGGTCTTAGTACCAATACGAGAACATCCAAAGGTACTATGCTATATAAATGCAAACTTTTTTTCTACTGAAAATAATATTTTCATACATCCCTGTGTTACTCCCTTCCAGTTTAATTTTGTTGGAAAATTACTGGGTCCCAAAGGTAACTCCTTGCGTCGTCTGCAAGAGGAGACACTCTGCAAAATGACCGTACTCGGACGCAATTCGATGCGCGATCGTGCGAAGGAAGAGGAATTGCGTGCATCGAAAGATCCGAAATATGCCCATTTGAATAGTGATTTACATGTGGAAATCTCTACGATCGCTCCACCGGCAGAAGCTTATGCGCGTATCGCCTATGCGATGGCTGAGTTACGCAAGTACTTAATACCTGATAGTAACGATGTAATACGGCAAGAGCAGCTACGTGAACTAATGGACAATACGAGCATTTCGGATGATGTAAACAAATTGGGTTATAAGAAAATTCCCCACCAGACGCCAAGCAGTAACCTTGGTGTTGGTGGGGGTGTTGGTGGAGGGGGAGCAGCTGGTATGGGTGGTGCTGGCGTACTGGGCGGCTCTGGCGGTGTAATGGGTGCTGCTGGTGGTTCCAGTAATATGTCTATGGGTAAAGGCGCACCACATCACGGTTATAGGTACGTTATACCGTTGCATTTCTCTTATATAAATAGCATATGAACTGAAAATAATAATTTATAGGACACCACAGTCTTCGCAAAATTTACAATTCAATAAGAATGCAGTTGCACCGAAACAAAAAGTGTTATCCATATTAGAGAAGGCACGAACTGCAATGGAGGAAACTTATGGGTAGAATAATTGCATTATGAACTTAGTTTATGAAGATATTCATGTATTTTGTATGCTTTTTTCAAGTCGTGGCTATGAAGATCCCATCACATATGAACAACCCACTTACGATGCTTATCCCTACGGTCATGGGCCAACAACTCATACACATACCGGGCATGTGCCAAGTAATGCTGGCATTGGTACAGCAAATATGGCACCGCGTGGCCCTTATGATGTCTCTGATTATGATACCGATTACAATAGGAGGGATTATTATCCCAATTCATCGAATTTTGGAGGTGCGTTGCGTGCAAATAACGGTTACTATTATAACTAAATGAAATGAATTATGAATAATATTTTAGAAATTAGCTAATATTAGTCACAAATGTATATGTGTATGTATGGATATTACAAATTATAAATAACAAAAACAAAATATTTTTTTTATATATTATGGTTATTTCTTACGCATACATAAACACATTTATTTGTTTTAACTAAATACATATATATATGTATGTACATATTGCTATTATTGCAGGTGGCGGCGCTTCGACTATGCATTCAAATCACAACACTGGCATAAATCCGAATCATAATCGAAGCCACGTTAATAGGTGAAATATGTTCGCCAGATTTAATACAAATACAAGTAATGCTGCGTCGCATATGACCCAAGCTACAGTCCTCACCAATAACAGCAACAAAAATAACACCTCCCCAAACGCCAAAGTCAGTCAGTGTATAAATGGCAGTGACAACAACAACAACAACAACAACAACGGCTATTACAACAACATTAATAAATCCAACGTCACACCACATACACAAACCTTATTTAATAACAACAATCAGCAAAACTTGAACGCCATGCAACAACAACAGATCAACGTTAATATAGGCTTGGATGCTGGCGTCGGTGGAGTTAGTGGTGTTGGAAAGCTTATGAATTCTGTAAGTAGCTTGACGACCAGCATGCAACAGCAGCCATTTAATACGCATGCGAAAAATAATCACACACAAATGTTGGCACAACAACACCATCATCGTCATCATCACCACCAACATCTGAAGCAACAGCAGCAGCAGCAGCAACAACAACAACAATATCAGCAGCAGCTGAACGCAAATACGACAACGCCGCAACAACAGCGGCACAAACAAACCCTCCCACCGCCACCATGTCAATCACAACATCCTTATCCTCACCAGAGTAACAACAACAACAACAACAATAGTAATAATAATAGCAGTAACCTTAATCTAAACATAATTAATAATACAATGAACGCCAACAATTTATTGAAACAACAACAACAACATCCAGCATGTCCTGTAGTCACCACAACACAACAACATATGAATGGTGGTGCAATAACGACAACATCTAACGTAACGCTAAAGACGCAACCGCAGCAGCAACAACAACAACAACAACAACAGCACACAACGGCTAATGCCCACAATATAAGTAATAAAATTACAACTCTAACAAATATGTCAGCGAGCAACATGTTCTTTGTAAGGTATTATTAACTGTTTAATGCTTATGTGTATATGTATGTATGTGTTTATTTAATCATTGTATATATGTATATACATAATATGTATGCATTTTAAATTACCACTTCTAGTGTGTTATGTAATTATATTTTACTTTTAGATCAGCAAATCCACCAGCAACAACAGCGCCGCAACCACCACCACCACCACCACAACTACATATTGGTGAATTGGCACCTTTTGTACCAGTGCAGCTCTTTTAAATATGCCGAAGCTATGAGTTGGCCATTTAGTGTAAAGGATTTTAGGCCAGTTCTACAATCACAACAACAACAACAGCTGCAACGGCATAGTGCCAAGGCACATAAATAGAAGGAACATGTGGATTCCGATAATTTGAAGAATATTAATAGTACCGTTTGACATTCGATTGCTTACAAATGTGTCCAAAACGCTTACATACATACGTATATACAAATAACAGAACAAGTGCGTTCTACTTTATTTACATACATACAGCTTACATGTATGATCGTAGTAAGTAATATAGGTATGAAATAGAGCGTATACAGTACCAGTGTACCAGTGATCCAATAGAAAAGATTCCAACAAAAAAAAGATGAGACGCGACGCGAAAACAAGCAAACAACAATTATCAAATAAATTTTAGATTTCTATGTGTAAATCAACGAAATAGGGAAAGCAAAGAGCGACAAGTTGTACTAAAAAAAAAAGTAAAAGAAAAAAAATAATGATAATAAAACTAAAAAATAAATATATTTAAAAAAAAAAGTTTAAAACACGACGAAGACGCGAAATCAAGCCCACTTACATACATACACATATACATACAATGTATTTACATACAAACATTTACATATACATACATATATACAAGCATTACTTACACACATACATAGTACATACTTGCATACATATGTATGTGCATGCCCACGGGCTAGAGTATGTATATATATACATATGTATAAGGCGCATATTTATAAAATTAAGCTCTTACATATAAATGAAAATTAAAAAAAAATAAATAAATGATATTTATATATTTATATTCTTAATGCAACCAATAATATGCAAACACAATATGATAAACCATGCAAAACAACAACAACAACAACTACAAAAACTAAAATGAGGAAATTAATAAAAACTAAATAAACTAGAAAGAAAGGTCAAATAATGGAGTCACATGCGCTCGCTAAGAGGCGAAAGAATCAAAGTTGACTAGAAACATGCAAACAGAATTACTTTCAAAAGATTTTTTTCAAACAAAAAAATATATATACATAAATATATTTATACATACATCATACATATATATATCTTAAAACAAATACAAGAAAATAATATTAATTAAAAATAATGTAATGAAGAAGAAAAATTTAAATAAAATAAAAATAATCAGTAATTGTATGTGTTAAAAGCCTATTTATTATATACATGTATTTTAAGCTCAAATTGCAAGTTAGTAGCTAAAACAGTATAATACATGCTAAAATGACATTAAAATGGCAAAATTATAAAAAAAAAGACGACAGCAAATAAATATATAATCACACTTAATCAAAGATGGCTAAAATTGTATGAACAAAATATATAAAAAGCGTAAATTACACAAAAACAAAATCATGAAAACTAATGCTAATATAAAAGTTATTGCTAAATTAAATATGTTCTTCGTAAATTTTTTCATGGCAAAATAATTACAAAAATTATAAACTTATAATACGCAGAAAATTAGTTTAAAAAAGTTTAAAGACTTTTTTGGATTTTTAAGGTTAATTTTTTTTTTTATTTAAAAGAAAACATTTCATATTAATTTTAAATAATATTTGAAATAAAATCTTTTCTAATTTTAGTTATAAAAAAAATTAATACTAATATTTTCTATACAAAAAAAAATATATAAAAATATATATATATATATATGTATATTAAAAAAATATCAATCAAATTGAACACTTTGACTTGCAAAAAATATATATAAAAACTTATTCATTTCGTGCACTTATACTTCAATAATATTGTTTTGTGTACAAACAAAAGTGTTTAGGTCAAATTTGCAAATACATAAAATAATAGTAATAATAATAATAATTTTACAGATAATATAAAGAACTAATTTTTATTATAAAAAATTATCTATTATTTATGGTTTGCAAGAAAAATCTTAAAAAAAAAGTAAAATCAAACAATTTCTACACTTTGACTTCAATTTTCATGTTAAAAAATTTTGTATTTTGTATATTTACGGTAAATAAAATTTGGATTCTGTTGTAAAATTAGAAAACTTCATTTTTCTATATTTAAATATTTTTATTTATTTTTGAGTAATTCTAAACTCACAAAAATAAACACATTATGTTCTATTTTTTTTTTCTTTATATCTTAACGTTTTTGAATTGAAAAAATTGGAAAATAAAATGTTAATATTGGAAGTTTATTTATTTGACATTTTTTGATATGTTGAAAAACTAAAATTAAATCCTCAAATTAGTTTTTTTTTTTTAATTTATTGTAAGCTTAAATTCGGATAAATTATAATTTTTTTTATCTTTAAATTTAAGTGGTTTTCAATTTTAATATTTGGAAATATTTTCATATTTCTAGAAATTTAACTGAAATGAAATATGGTATTTTTGAAAAGTGAAGAAAAATGATTTACGTATCGAATTGGCATAAAATTTTCCTTAATTTGCCCTTTTTATTGTATTTGAATTAAAGTATGGGGAAATTGTGTAAGCGTTGTTAGTATAAAAATGTATTGAAAATTCACAAATTAATAGAATTGAAATATTTTTATTAATTAACAAGTTAAAAAATTATGATTTTACATATTTTATTTAAAAAAAAATATGTTCTTTGTGCTCAAATTTACGCCAAAACACAAATATGTCGTAAATCCGTAAATTAAAAAAGAAAATTAAGTGAATTTGTAAGCTGTAAACATAGATTTAATATTAAAAAAGTGCTGAAAATAGGCAAAAACTCGGTTAAATTTTGTAAAGACTCCATTTTTATGGTTTTTACTGAACATTTCTTTTAAAATTTTATTATTTAATACATTTTCGTTTAAATTAATTAGTTTTATTTTTTCAATCAATTAATTTTTAAAAATTAATTGTTTTTTTAATTATTATTTTTTTTAGCTAATTATGTTTTTATTATTTTATTAATTAATTTTTTTTTTTAATTTAACTTAATTTTTTATTAATTTATTTTTTTTAATTTAACTTATTTTTTAAATTAATTATGTTTTCTATTAACTTATTTTTGTAATTAGTTGATTTTTTAATTAATTAACTTTTCAATTAATTAATTTAATTAATTTTTTTTATATATATAATTTTTTTATGTATTTAATTCTTTCAATTTTATTTTATTTTATTTTTTTTTTTTGAATTTTCACACTAAATGTTTTTGAAATTATGTTTAATATTCATTTCAGTCACTTTATGTTTCATATAAAATTTACAAGCGAAAGTTTACTTAATCTGGCGATAATCTTAAAGGTTTTTAGATGGCTTCGAAATACATATATATGTATGTAGGAATGTAATTTCATTCGGTTTGATTAAATTATTTTTCATTGTTTATTTTCTATTATTGAACTAAAATAATTAGACATTATTAAATGAAACATTTATAATACATATATGAGTATCCGTATATTAAATAAAAAATAAATAAATATACATACATATATATATTAATTTTTTTGTAATTAAAAGCAAGTAAAATTACAATATTTACTTTTATAAGTATTTTCTATGCAAAATTATTTTTTCTCTATTTTTTAAAGATTTCATTATATTTTAATTTTCAAACTAAACTAAACCAATTTCTAATCTGCATAACAAGACGTTGATTACTTTTCTAATTGCTTAAAAAATGCTAATACGAATATTGTTGGAAACAATAAAAAAAATACAGATACATACAAGAAAAACAATACATAAAAATTTATAGTTTATAAAAAACAAATCTTAATAAATTATAAAGTTATTAATTAAATATGATACTTATGAACGAAGAAAAAATTTAAAATGAAAAATATTACTGTAATACATATACAATTAATACAACAACAAAAAATACAAAAATATAAGAAAAAAATATGCATAAAGTTATATACATACAATATATACAACAAGAAAATTATAATAAAACATAATTACATAATAATCGCTATATCGATTTAAAAAAAAAAAAAAAAAAAATTACACAAAAAATATATGGAAAAAACTTTAATTAAATATTACACATAACAATTGCAGCAGTGTTTGTTTAGTAATTAAAGAAACAAAAATATGTATTTATGTATTTCTACAAATGGTACGCGTGCGCAGCAACGTAATTGCATTTGTAACGCTGACGCCGTGAGTCTTGCGTATTCGCTCTCTTCTATGAGAACGTTTAGTATAATGAATGGGTCTCTATCTCACTTTAAAATTAATAATGCTGACTATTTCTCACAACAAACACAAAAAAAAATATATAAAAAGAAAAAAACAAAAAATTATAATTGTGCTGCTCTATGCAATTAATAATAATAATAAATATTCTACAAAAGGAAACAAAAAAAAAAACAAAAAACATACATAAATGGCATACAATAAAATATAATAAAATACACATTAATAAATATGAAGAAATGTATTAAAAATCGGTTGCCTTTTCATTAAGTTAATTTCAAGCGAACTTTTTTTACTTTAATAGCTGAATGTGTTATAACCTCAAAGGTACGTGGTATGGCAGCGTACGCCACTGCGGAACCTTAGGAATTGACTTGTTTTACAACAAGGTGATGAGGTAAAGTCCTCAACTTGATTTGGAGGCCAATTATTGGAGAATTTCGATTATCTTTTCCAAACTTTAAGTATAAACAAAAAAGTCTGTATATTTTTCAACAATTTTATGCTTTATTGAAAAATAATTTTAATTAAATACATATTGACCATTATTAGCTATGACCTTTTGCCACTTTGCGGCTAATTTCATGATTTCATCAGCATAGAACTTCTGCGATTTATCGGCGAAGAACTTAGTCCAGTGATTTCAGCGGCATTTCGGTCCGCAGAGACTGAAACAAATTGTAGTGAGATGTTGCAAGGTTCGTTCTAAATGATGGCTCCATCAAAACTCCATCAATTCTTGCCAGATTCTCAAGCAAGTATGCGATCTGACGTTGTCATGGTGAAATACAACACCTTTTCTATTGGTTATTGTTGTTGTTGTTTTTAACGGTCGTTCCAACTCCGCTTAGAGACGGTCGTTCCAACTCCGCTTAGAGACGGTCAGTTAGTCAAAGTCATCGAGTTCATCTAATGGGAGGCTCAGGAAACGAGCTGTTTCGACGGGTTCGTACCAGTGGAAGAGCGGGCTTATGTGTGACGGTTTTCGCGGACATGTAAAGAGGTGGTGAGCGTCGTGCGGGGACTCGTTACATGCTGGACATACGTTGGTTATGCCGGTGTTGAGTCTGGATAGATAGTAGTTTAACCTGCTACAATATCCAGACCTAAGTTGCGCCAGTATTACGCGGGTCTCTTGAGGCAACTCGAACTCTTCTTCTGATACGAGTAGTGATTTGACTGCGAGGACGCCATTCATAGAGAGGGAGTTTTTGAAGGTGTTGACTTACTCCTAGTGAATGGCATTTGGTGTCTGTCCGTACTACGTTGTTGTTGTTGTTGTTGTTGTTGTTGTTGTTGTTGTATTATTGTTTTCCCCAAAGTACTTTTTGGGGAATGTGGCGTGAGTGACAGTCCTTGGCCGGATACAATTTTGAGTCCTTCCGGTGTTAAGACCCGTCTGTCGCGGGAACTATCGGATTTTAGTCGCTTCTTACGACAGGTATGCCCTAACGCGAGAAAATTATTGAACCCCTAACCTGCAGGGGGTGTCCGTACGTCGTCCTGTCCAGCGGTTAATGGATTGTGTCCTTTAAATCTAGTACTCCATTTCTGATGGGCTTTTTGGATGGATGTTCAGCTTCTATTAGATGCCTATAGGGGTGCTCCCCGGTTTTGCTGCATCAGTTTCGGAGTTTCATCGCTTTTCAAATGACTGGCTCGCCGTCAGAACGAGGTAGGACTTTAACGACAAAATTTCCGGAACGGAATCCACAAGCCACCCCTGGATCCAATGTTCACTTACAACATTTTCACCACGAGTCATACAAATTTTTCGGTTGCTTTCAAACACGTTTCAGTAAAAATCGATCAGCCTCATAAAATGGATTTTTTTTTTGTATTTTTCAAATGGACATGCCAATTTGCAAATTAACATTTTTTAAATTTTTTTGAAGTTAGCAACATTTTCACTTCCGCTACCGCTATTTCCTTATTTTCGTTTATTGGCAACTCTATTCGATTTTGTGATGAAGTGACAGTTGTACAGCTGGTGGAAAAAGCAAAAGTTGCAAATTGTTTGCATGCACATATACCTACGAATTTTCGCGTATTTATTGACAAATCTAAACAAATGTATTGATAAAAACAGAAAACAACAAAATATATGTATTTTTAAATAAAATATTCTATTTTACTTAATTTGTGCCTTTGCCTCGATTGCATGCAAGCAATGACCTCATCTTCATCGTAAACCCATCCGAATAGATCTAATAGATATAGATAGCCAACAAATTTTTAACCACAGCCAACAAAGCAGCAGACAAACTTTACAGGATAACAATGAGTGTACGCGGCAATAGTGAGAACTGTGTGGAGGAGCCTGTTGCACCAGAATGGCTTTCAAAATTGGAAAGTCGACGCGAGAATCTACAACGCGCAACAAAGCTGAGTCATGAAGTGGGCGCTGGTGCACCCTGCGGTGAATGTGGTGACAAATGTCCTGGATTGGATTTACATTTTTGGCGTAAAGTATGTCGCAATTGTAAATGTCGTAAGGATCAGCATAAATGCGTTGACGATGACTTGTCATCGTGGGCACAATTTGAGATTTTGGGACAAATATGTTCGAAACCAGCGTGTAAGTATGTCAACATGCATGTAGATGCCTTAATTTGTCGTGTCTCAGTAACTCGTACATCATATCTATTGTTTTAATGTACATATGTAGGTACCTATAAGTTTGTGAAATTTTCACACTTTTTTCTAACAATGGAATGACACTGAAACATATGCATATAGTATATATGCTTATTAAAAAGATACACGCTACTGGTTACATTTATATTACAAATTTATACATAGACTTACATACATAAATATATGTGTGGAAATACATATATATATATATATATATATATATACTCATATACATAACTTCTCTAACATATTCCCTTCCCACCCTCCCGTCGCAGTCATTAAAATTAAAGCGCTCGCCAGCCAACCCGTCCAATTAGACTGGGTACCACCGAATACCACGCCAGATGTTGTTTCTGACTACATGGAGAAATTGGGTGCCACCAAGATGCCGATTGTGGGCAGTGATGCGGCACAAAAGCGTAAACAGCAATTGGAATTTCAAGTGCCGCCGCATGATTTGAATGCGGCATTGTGTGACAATCTAACCGATGCTGAAGCCGCACAACTACAACAATATGTCGTGAAAATACGTGAGAATTGCGTTGGACAAGGTGTGGTTGTGCGCATTGGTAATATGGGCATCGGTTTTGTTGAATATATAGCGCCACAACAACAACAACAACAACAACAACAACATCATCAACAGCTGCAGCAACTAAATATGTTAATGACCTCCGAAGCCTATAATATGCCAACGAAAAATATGCAGCCAACACCATTTAATGCCACCTTATGTGGCGATGCAAATGAATTATCCTTTCATTCACCGTTGCCAGTTAAAAATGCCGTTAATGCACGTTTTAGCGCACAAATGCGCCAGGAAACTCCCGCACGTAAATTAAAATTCGGCACCATATGCAATTTGGCCAACACATGTGGTCTGCCAGTAAATGTTGATTATGACAAAGATGCCGTTTTCGCACAAATACTACACGCCGAACCGTTGAAGAAAGCGATTGAAAATAAAGGCAAAGGATTAAACGCAATGCCAGTTGTCATTTCACAAACGCAAATGTTGCCCGATTTCATGAGTGCATCAATTTTAAGTCCCACCACCAAACAGAAACTCAAGGATATTGGCGTTAATGTGAAAACTGTACAAAGTGCCTTATTGAATAGCCCATTTTACGATGCACTCTACGATACACTCAAACATAATGACATCGACTACGATGAATGCCGTGTATTGGCACCCATACAGGCGCTGAGAGAAGAGGTGCTGGTGAATAGACCTTTGGCCGAGGAGTTAAGTAGTTTTGTGTCACAATTGCCCAACAGTGCTGCCATAATGTATACCAGCCCACCAGAGAATAGTCTGGTTAAGAGTGGTGGTCTTAGTGGTTCCAGTAGCAATGATTCAGGCTTTGGCTCGAAAGCTTCAACACCGGTGGGCGGCGCAGACATGTTAACTGCTGGCGGCTTGCCAAATGCCTTCCAACAAATGCGTTTGGGTAGCAATGTGGTGAAAGGTAAGCTTTTTATTGCAAGTAAAAGTGTTAAAATTACATTGTCTTTTGTTTTTATTAAAATTTACTCAAAATAATTTCCAGACTTTCCACCACCTCCACCGGTTGTGAACTGTCGCGACTGCGCTAAGCCCATACCCTTGGGTGATGTCGCCGTCAAAGCGGAACGCGCAGGTAAAGAGATTGCCTGGCATCCGGAGTGCTTCAAGTGTTACACTTGCCGTGAGTTGTTGGCCGATTTGGTGTATTTCTTTCACGGCGGTCAAGTGTACTGCGGTCGTGATTTGGCTATAAATCTGAAGATACCACGTTGTAAGGCTTGCGATGAATTGATATTCACCAAGGAATATACAGCGGCGGAAGGTGCTACCTTTCATATTAAACATTTCTGCTGTTATCATTGCGACACACCGTTGGCGGGCCAACAGTATATACCCGATGAAAAGACCAATATGCCGATATGTTTGAAATGTTATAATGAGTTCTTTGCGGCCACTTGTCAGCGCTGCAATCGTCAAATTGAACCCACCGATCAGGGTGTTGCCTGGGGCGATGTGCATTGGCATAGCGGTTGTTTTGTGTGTGCTGGTGTCGATTGTGACAAATCATTGATTGGTGGACGCTTTTGCGTTAAACAGAAAATGCCTTTTTGTAGTGCACAATGTGTTAGAAGTATTATATAAGATAAGATAATTTTTATATGCATTTACAAACGTATACATATACACAATTTAGTATTTACCGTTACTATATACTGCAAGTATTCAGCACAAGACAAACAATTGTAATTCCTATTTAAGATGCATTACATATATACTACATTTACATATTTTACATATTGTATTTTTTATACATATACGCCAGTTTATACATACATACTTATGTATATTGCACGCTTTAAAGTGCTACGAAATATACTTTATACATAACTTTTCTCAATGTGCGCTTAAATGTATTGTTGTTTTTATTAACTTAGCTTACAGCTCTTTATGTTGTATCCATCGGGTTGTATTATGGGAAAAGAATGTTAGTTTGGAGTGTTAGGTTCGAAAAAATCAGATCGTTTTGAACGGAAGTCAGTATATTTAGAAATTTCTTTTTATGCCTAAAAGTATGCTTCCGTTTTCGGACTCAGATTATTTATACGTGTATGTATTAATTTCTGCTTTGCAAATAAAGTGTAGTTAAATTTAATATCAATACATTTTGTCTCAATTGGAGTTATTATGAATTTGCGCCTAGGAGTAGGCTTCAAATTTCGGTTTAAGGTTATTTTTGCGCAATATATTCATTTTCAGTCAGCAAATGACGTATTGTTTGTTTTTATACCATTTCTTTTAATCATAATCCGATTTATATTACAATTGCGCCTAGCAATATGCTTCAAATTACGATCTCAAGTCATTTTCACGTGCTAATACTTTCATTTTTGTATTGCGAATGACGTATTATGTATTTTAGTACCATATTTTTTAATTTTAATTCGATTTATTATATTTTTGTGCCCGAGTTTATGCTGCTACTTTCAATATAAGACATTTTCATTCACAAAGAGATACCCATTTTCGCTTTGGCAATGATATATAATTAATTTTGAAATTAACCCATTTTATACCAAATAAATCACTTACGCCTAAGACTATACTTCAACTTTTATCAATTTATTTTATTATCAATATCTCTGATCAACATTCTGCTTATTTTGTTGGTGCGCCTAAGGGTATGCTACAATTTTAAGTCTAAGAGTCTTTTTTTCATTTCGATTTGCGAATTGATTTATAATATCCATATTTGTGTGCTGCTTCCATTATTTCGCTATTCACGCCTAAGAGTATGCTTCAAATTTCGGTCTCGTCTCAGTTTTAAGTGAGTTCATTTTTTTTCGATATGCGAACGACATCTAATTCACTTTAAATTCAATCATCTGATTTTAGAACTGATTTGCCAAACATTTGCGCCTAAAAGTATGCTGCGGCTTAAAGTCAAATTATTTTTACTTGAAAATCGTTTCCCGAGACTAGTATATATTTTTATTAATCTTTTGCGCCTGAAAGTATACTGTTCTTTCACGGCTAGAAATGGACTTATTTCTTCCTGTTTTCCACCTAAAAATATGCTTTTACAATCTGATATTTCGCAGACCGCATATGCATTAGCCCGCCGCGCATAGATGTATGCTTTCAATTTCTTTTTTTTACCGCCTAGAAGCTTGCTGCATGTCTTACTTTCCAAATAAAAACACAAATAGTTATTTATTAATTTTTTTTTACTTCAATTGTTCATCGAGAGCGTTTATTTTAGAGATTTGTTTTTATTTAAATACAATTTTTAAGTGTTTTTAAAAAAATATTTTATAAGCAGAAAAAATCACATAATAATTTCAGTATTATGCCGTACTCGGGAGACATTCACAAACATACACGCCAACGCACACATACATATGTATGTATGTTTGTATGCATACAAACATACATACAAACACACACCGAAGTAAACAGACGCATTGCAATTTTTACGTTTTTTGTTGTTTCGTATTTATGTATTTATGTACATACATAAGTACGCATGCGCATTGCCATTTTCGTTGCAAATCGTTATTGTTTTTATTATTTATTTTATTTTATTTTATTGTTTTTTTTTTTTTTGTTCCTTTCCCACCAACAACTTTAGCCACCGCCAAGCGAGTCCAGGCATAAATAAATTGAATTTACATTTTTGGAACTAATATTTTTGTTCTAGTTTTTTTGTTTGTTTTTGAATTTTAGGATTCCTAATTGTTTACATTTTTCAGGTCGTCAAATCAACTTTATAGTAGTTGTTGTTGTTGCTGTAGTAGTAGTAGTATGTACTGGATAGTGAGTAGTAAGTGGTGAGTGGTGTTGTCCGCCAAGGCGTTAACAAGTGTGGTGTGTATGAATTTGCCACATACATATATGTATGTATGTGTCTATATAGTACGCATGTAGTGCTGCAGTTATGGACTTATTGTTTGTATGTATGTATTTTTTTTTTTTTAAATTAATTAGTTGCTGAACGCTGTACGATCGCTTGAGAGTAAATGGAACTTATAAGTATAGAGTCGCTACATACATACACACGAACATTTGTACATACAGCTATCTGTAAGTACATATGTCTGTGTAGGCCTCCATGTAACTAGGTTTTAGTTTTTAATTTAAATTAATTATAATTTATTTTTGTTTTTTTTCTTATTTTGTATTTTTTCTCCTTTTTCTTCTTCTTCTTCTAATTTATCCTCTTTAACATATCTATTGAACGTAAGACAGTATTTTTTACTTCAAATTAAATTTCATTAAAAAATACAATTACTAAAAGCTAATTCGTTACATACGTGTATGTACAGTTAACGCAAATTGCCATACATATTACATATAATAATAATAATTATTGTTGTTACATATTCCTTATTTTTTTTTTAAATTTTTTCATTTCATTTCATTAATATGTATTATTTGTGTTTTCCTTTTGTTTTTGTTTCTGTTTCTGTTTCCTTCATTTAGATTTCCGTTAATACTTCAGTTACCTCAGTACTTTTTACAAAAGAACTCCTATGCAGCAGCACAATGAGAAGGATCCCACTATTGTTGCTGTGAGCAAGCATACATACATACATACATACATATATACACTATACATAACTCTACTGCATACTTTTGTATATGTGTATATATACATACATTTATGCATAGATAGCATCGGTAAACATAACTTACATACACGTGTATATGTATAAGTATATGTATGTACATATGTAACTACAACTAAGTATATAAAGAGCAGTATTGTATTTGAATGCAGTTCAACGCGAGATTTTATGCACAAAAAAATACCCAACAAGTAAAAAAAAAAAAAAAAAAAAAAAAAAAAAAAAAAAAAAAAAAAAAAAAAACTACAGTTAAATCAAGTATAAAAAAAACATTGAACTAAAATGCAAAAGCACACTAACAACTATCACAGAACATATGCATTTATGTATGTATGTATGTATGTATATGCGTATGAATGCATGAATGCATGCGAGCAGGTATGTATGTACGTATGTATGCAGGTATCCCATTGCGGGAGGGTGTGTAAGTTTTAGCAGCGTGCAATCTGCACCGGGTGGAAGAAGAGCAAACGCGCAAACGGATGAGCAGGTAAACTGGGGGAAAATCTGTATTCCGAGCGCACAAAACAAGACAAAACAAGCAGGTGCTAAGTGCGGCACTGCTTTCGTTTTCAGCTCAGCTGCATATTTGACAAACCAAAAGAGGCGACTAACCAACCAACCAAACAACCAAACAAACAAACAGCCATATGTCGTTTAAGGTGACTTTAGTTAGGTATAAACGCTTGTATACACGTATATAGTATGTACAAATCTACTCTGTATGTGTGTATTTGATTGCGAAACAGTCAGTCTTAGTTCGTTTAACAAAAAAAAAAAAAAAAGAGCAGTTTTGCAAAAAAAAAAATAACCAAAACATATTTAACTAGTTGTTTTTGTAATAACAGGCAGTTGTTGTATTAGCAAGTGCATTGTGCACACAAGCTAATCGACATATGTATGTATGTATGTAAATATGCGATTTTTCTGTGTTTTTTTTTCTGTTTTCAATAACAAAAATGAAGGCAACTAAAAATGTACATATTTTTGAAAAGGTTTTCAAAACTAATTGATTTTGAAAAATGAAATACAGCCGCATTTACTGTACATTTCTTATATAATGCATGTTTCAGGTATGCAATTGAAAACATAAAACCACATTGTGCTCCTTATATGTATGTACATCTTTTCAGTCTTTGTCTATACCTATAGATTTCGTAAAATAAAAAAATTGAAAAAAAAGTAAATAAAAGGAATTAAAACTCTGCAGACTTTTGAGCACACAGAGTTTTTAAGAGCAAAAAAAAAAAAACGAAAAAAATGCCATAAACATGCTTCCCCTTGTTTAGTACCGCGAGGTTTCAGTTATACACACATACACATAAATACATATAGTATACAGCCCTTTAATTAATTTGCTCATCCTCACAGTCTCTCTCTCTATTGCTTGCCTATCAACGATTTGGCTGTTTTATGGGTACACCTTTCCTCATGCCTTCCCCCCCACCAATTACCGCATTTCACCACCTTTGCTTTCTTTTCTTTCATTCTTTCTTTTTTTTTTTTATTTACATTACATTTTCTAAACATTACGACTTTTTCAACCCCCGTCTAGTTTGTGTCTGTCTGCCAGTCTGCCAGTCCGCCTGTCGGACGGTCTGTCATTGTACTCACTACGCGCGCCGCTGTGCTGCCTACTTTAATCAACCCTTCCATTGTGCTGCTGCTATGCTGAACATTTATGTCGCTTTGCGTCTCCTCACGCGCATCACGCGGATCATCTAATCGAAACTTAACTACACACACACACATACACTATTATATTTTGTATATAATCCTAACCCTGCCATCGTCAACAGTTTGTATAAATGCCGCGCGTATAGTATAATTCTGCAATGCGTTCAGGCAGTGTACTATAGAGATTGACCACAAAATCCATAGGTAAACGCGTCCATGCCGCGCGTACACGAAATATGAGATCGTCCTTACGCGAAAATTTACGTCCGCCATCGTACACTTCGCGTATCAGCCAACCCCAAATATTCTCCATTATATTGAGGTCATGCGCAATGCTGGGCCAATGTTGCATTTTGAAGCCCTCAGCATCGAGCGTTTCCTGTGTGGTTGCCGTCATATTGGCCGTCCAATTGTGATCTTGTAATATGAAATCTGGATTGCCACCCAATTTGGCAATGATATTCGGTCGTTCGCGTAATATCGTTTCAATGTAGGTTTGTGGTCGTTGTTTTGCCGTCGACACCTCCATATGTATCGGTCCGCCGGCTGTGATTAACATGTATATGTAAACGGAATTGCCGCGCGGTCGTTGTGAGAGCATTTGTTCGTAATTACGTAAATCGTGAAAGTAGCTGGAAAAGCCATCTGGTCCATCTAAATTGAATTTACGTTCATCCTGGAAGACCACACGTCGCCAATGCTCCTCACCCCACGCAATATGCGCATTGGCGAAGTTTAAACGTTCCGTTTGTAGATATTGCGACAACACTGGTTCTATTTTCAATTTTTTCGCATTCACGGCAGCACTATTGGCCGCTGTTGTACCGCTACGCATCTGTGAGCCCACTCCGCCCGCTTTGGCATTATCCGCCGAGCCATTGGAGCGTGCATTTGCAGCGGAGGAGCGACTAGAGTTGGTTGCATTTGATTGCTGTGTTGGGGCATGACTGGATGCTGTACCACCGCCAGTACTCGAACTGGCCGCTGAGAAATTCGAGTTCTGATTTAAAGCGTGTATGGGTAACGTGCGATTCGGATTGTAATTCTGTTGGTTGTGCTGCGCACTTTTGAATTTATGATTTGCCGCACCCGTGTTGGCTAATGTATTGGCAACGGTTGATGAATTGTTGTTATGATGGCTGTGGCTGTGGTTGTGGTTGTGGTTGTGGCTATTGCTCTGTTGATAGTAGGGATGATGATGATGATAGGTCATATGCTGCTGATGTATTGTGGGTTGCTTGAGTTGGAGCTGCTTGAGACGGTGTTGTGATTGTACAATCAATTGCTGCTGTTGTTGCGTTTGCTGTTGTATCGTCTGTCTGCAAGCTGTCGATGCTGCAAGTGCGGTGAGGCCTTGCGCTGCTGTCTCTGCGGTCGCTTCTGTTGTAATGTTTTGTAAATGCGCTTGTTGTTGTTGTTGTTGTTGTTGTTGCTGAAAGTGTACAAGTTGCTGCTGCTGCTGCTGTTGATAGGAGTGCGTCGTCACTGGCGTTGCTGCGTGTTGTTGCAATTGCAAATGTGTTTGTGTAATCACCGCTTTGCTTGTTGCAGGTGTTGCCGCAGCCGCTGTTGTATCTGTTGGCGCAGTTCCGCAATAATTGTCAGTGTGTTTGAGGTAGTGTTGTAGGGCCATCAGAGTTTAACCAGGCGCTTATTAGCCGCCACTGTAAACTCTTTCAATTGCTTTTCCTAAACGTTAGGGAATGATTGTTGCTTTTTGGTGTTATCTTTTACTTTCCCCCAAACAGCAACCGGTTCAACGAAAATGCTCAGTTTTTATGTTGTATCGCTTGTAATTCTAGTGGAAATGCTATCAGCAAATTTTAAATTTAAATTGAATTTTTTTTTGTTGAAATCACTGCTCGCCTACAGTCGGTATTTTTCAACGATATTGCATCGTTAACATAATAAACGCTTTACGTATCTCGTCTTCATCACAGTCAAAGACCAAAATAAACGAGAGTATGTTTGTATGTACTATTTACATATATCAATCGATTTTCATGCGATTTTATCTTGGCAAGCGTACATTTAAATATGTATGCATATGGAAGTTCACTTTGCTTGTGTGTACGTATATGTTTGTATATATGTATATACGCTGCAGCAGTACTTTTTTACATTAATTAATTTTAAAAATTCCCTTATCTAAGTATGTTACTTGAGTAGTAGAAGCAATGCTTTATATATTATATGTAGTGAATATTTAATGGGTTTAATTATTCAATTAAGACTGTAGGCTTATATTTCTGCTGTAGTTTTTTTTTTATAGAATCTGAAAGTAAAAAATTAAAATAACTTCAATTAAAAATTTTATATAGAGCTGATTGTCAATTTATTAACAAAAACATTAAAACACTAATACGGTGCATAGTTTCAGGCGCAAAGGCAACTTTTCGTATTTCTGTGACATAAGGGTCCATTTGCTCTATATTGATCAATAACATCTTGCAAGTTTTATTAATTTAATTTATACACATTGCTTTTATACGCGAAAGAACAAACGAATATTAAATATACACGAATTCGTATGTACATGTGTACATATATACTCTTACACGAAAATTTTGCTTTAAACACAAAAGAAATTGGTAAATCCGCACAAATGTCGCATTAATTGCTATAAAGCAAGAAACATATTTACATAAAACTAGGCATGTACATACATGAAATGTGGGCAAATGGCATACCTTGCGATACTGATATCAATTTAAAGCTACCGTAGATGGCAGCAGCAGTGTACGCAACATAGCGCACACTTAAACAAATACACGGGGGCTATAGTCGACAACCAGATGCGCTATATTTATTTATTTGTATTAAATTTTTCATATATTAAGCATTTAAATGAGTGTTGGTTACTTTTCTCATCAATTTTGTATACAATTATGCAAATCTTTAATAGCAGTTATGAATACAAATTGATTAAATTCTTAATTTTATTAATTTTGTATATCTTTACACATGAAAGGGTACCATCTAAAGTGCCTTCAAAATTATTGAAAATTTTGTGTATTATTTTGTATAGCTTTATTTTTTATTATCCTCTTTCAGATGTGAAATCTTATACCATCATGTTGAAAGTCCGTATACTCGCACACAAACACACCTGAAAGGGTACCATCTGAAGTGTCTTCAAAATGATTGAAAATTTTGTGTGTTCTGCATTTAATTGGTATTCGGTGTTTATTTAGTTTACACTGTAAATATAAACACACACGCATACAAACGTGTGTAGGCACAAGAATCAATACACTGATAAATATACAAACTTTTGTACATATAGAAATGATAAAGTAAATCAAGCTACGTGCGTTTGCGTTCCAAGCACATAGCAAGTACATACATATACAAATTTATATACATATATACACGCACTTTGTACATACATATTTACACCGAAAACCAGTCGATATTGTGAATATGTACATAAATCGTGACGAAACGAAAATTTTACTCTCGGGAATTCGCTGGATGCGAACGATTAAGTTTTTCTTTATATCAATTTCACATTCTTAAGCACTTAAATTTCTATTCTTTTACTTTTTTTCGCCTTTTTAATATGTGCTCTCAATATTAAATCTTTGCATATACATACACTTATTTATATATATGTATGTATATAGACCCACTGAAAATAAAACAATGAAATCACTTTGACCAGGCACTGAGTAGCACATTTGGTTGAAAAAATCCACTTCCGGAACCACACACTTTGTAGCCAGTTATTTGATCTCAATATGAAATTTCGTACACAAATACACTTATCACATTACCTTTATTTAGATTATTTTAGCTGCATCGATGAAACAGAGTATATTAAGTTCCATTTTTTTTTTTTTTGCTTTATTAAGAGATGTGCTTATAAAAATGGAAACTTTACATATCCGATGCAGCAACAGACAGGGCGAGCCAATGACAAAATCTGACTTTACGAAAAGCAGACAAATTTTTTTTTAACAGCTGTCAAATGATCTTACATTGTTGCATGAAATGTCAAAAGAAAGTTTTAGATTTTGTCTATTTTTTTTTAAGTTTAAAATAATTATTGAACCCAAAAAACATAAGGAAAAATATTATGTATTTAATAAAAGAAATTTAATTCACGTTTAAAAAATAATGTTAGATTTTTAAAACTTAGGTTGCATCCACCACTCCGTGTTGTCTATTGTGAATGGCAGGAATGTAAACGAGGGTCAGCATTTTCAGATTTAACTTAACAACTTTTTGCGAATTATTTGAAAATTCTGTATTAAGTACTCAATTTTTTAGACAATTAAATGGATTAAAATAGTAATGGGTATATAAATTCTAACTGTTATATTCTGTTATATCCAGGTACCTAATGGAGGAATTTAAATACATTCCCTTTAATTAAAAAACACTTCGGGTTTTTTTTTGCATTGTGCTGTATTAAGTTTGTATCAAAATTAATACTAACATTAAATCACATAATATGCAAGCAGATCTTAAAAGATATATATATTGTAAATATTTACGATGCGAATTCAAAATTTTAGGCAAAATGTGCTCCCGACATTCAACCAGTTATCATAAATACTTCTAAATAGCTTGTTCAAGATTATTATCCATTATTGAATAGCTTAATCAGTTGGATTTTGTATGACTATTAATATGAAATCTTTATCAGGCGCAACCATAATTTCATGTTTCTTGGAGCGTACGCGCAGGAATGTCAAATCATTGGAAGGGTCCAAATCACGAACAACACTGCGTGCTTTGTCAGACAGTTGACTCATAAGACCAGCATATTGCACTGTTGTCGTGTTGTCCAAAGTGGATTTCACTGGGATACCTGAATGTAAAAAATAAAGATAAAAAAAACTGAGAAAAACCAACGCACATATATAGTTATTACCTTCATTGTTGACAACAATTGTACCGACGACACCCTTATGTGACTGAATACGTTTTAAAGTTTCCTCGACTTCTTGCGACTAGAAATGCATGAGCAATGTTAGATTGTAATATTTTAGATTAAATATTATTTATATTTACCATGTTGTTCCCGAATTATTACTTAAACTTAGAAAATCGCAAATTTTCACTTGAGTCAGTATACGAATGCCAGAATGAAAATCAATGTTGTCATCGATCAAGCAGAAAACGGGGCCAGGGTTGCATTGCGCAAATAAAAATATACACTCCGGTTTTCGGAGCTTTCCTTCCAGGGTGTCATGCTAGCTGAAATTCTCTTGTATTCAATTGGATCCCAATAAAATTTTGCAAAAAATTATGCTAATTTAAATTATTACGTTATTTCCACTTTTTCAAGGAAAAATATTTTTTGCTTATAATTAAAATAGATAACTTCTTTTAACTTCTTCGAATATTCTAGCTAAAAGCTCTAGCGTTTTGATTTTTCTGTCTCTGTGTGTTAAATTAAAATTTTTAAACTTTATTCTGTACTTTATATATGTTTCATTTCATAAGTTGGAATGTTGGTAAGTTAATTTATAAACAAAAGAATAAGAGTTTCTACAATTAAAATGAGTATCCTCAACAGACTATCCAATTGGAAAACGTTGTACGCAAAAATGCGGAGAATACGGAGCGTATAATGAGAAACGCCATTGGCTACGTAGTATCGAATAATGCTCTGGGTACCGTTATACAATCAACGTTCGACAACAGTACTTCCGGTGGCATAACTAAATTGATTAGCGGCGTTCTAGTGCCAACTGCACGAAGCGCAGTCCGAGATTTGGATACTACTAATGATTTGGCCTTCCTACGAATAGCAACTAGAAAATTTGAATATTTAGTGGCACCGGAAAAAGAATTCACGATTGTAGTGATGCAATAAGCATGCGCATCCCATTTAAACTTTAGTAAACATTACATTTTTTTATATTTCTTATAATAAAATCTTTATTGAATATGCGGCTTACATAATCACAATTGTATCCTATCTTGTGCATTTTGTACTACCATTACCGTAATTTTTCCATCCGGCGTTATAAGCACCTCATTGGCTTTTGTGCGTACACGCAACATTAACAGCTCGTCATCGGGATCGATCTTCTGCAAACCCAATTGTACTTTTTCCTTCAGGATTTCATAAAGACCGGCAAATTCAATAGCGATTTGTTTTTCCATTGTCGTCTTGATGGGATTGCCATTTTTATTTAATATAATTATATCCATAATATCAGGTTTTTGCTCGATTTGTCGAAATACTTCCTCCACGTAAGAGCGTGTACGTTTCACCTGTGACTAAAAATATAATGAATAAATTATTATATATTTGCCCATGAAAACTTACCACTTGTTGTGTTGCTTGCATCCTTCCTGTCTTCTTTTAATATAAAGAAACAATAAAATCAAGGCGATCTCTTGATATATTGAAATATGAAAATATTTGTTTGATATGCAAACATAAACAGAAAAAAAAAAATAATTAAAGGCGCCTTGCATACTCTGCAAGACCGATATATGCCTTTTGGTATCCTTGACATTCCGCTGTTTATTTTTAAAGGATATAGGTCAATATGTGAAGAAATCCTTCAATAAGCAGGAATACCCACTAAACGTATACACATGCATATATACATGGTAATTCATATATACAGGTATTTTCATTAGTGCTTTAATTTGGATGGAAATTAAAACAATGTAGCCAGGACGACCGTTCTCTTAGTAATAGAAATTTTAAAGCTGTAGAAACTCGAAGGAATTGATATTATTTCATTTTGGTTGGTGGTCTGTTCATGTATTAATTTGAGTTTCTAAAATAGAATATATGAAGTTTGACAATTTACTGACCACTGCGAAAAAAAGAAATAAAATTGCTTATTTAAATATATGTATAATATTTATAAATGAAAAAAAATCCATTTGGATCAGAGATGTAACTATTGATATTTATAAGGGGGGTTAAGTAAATGTTATCGATATTTTCAAAACTACTTTTCAAATCGGTGAATGAAATGTATAATAATTAATTTAATATGATTTTAGTAAAATATTGATGTATTTAAATATATTATTTGGTGTAAAAATTGTAAACTGTTCTCCAAAGTAATCGAACAAAAATCCAAATAAAATTCTACAACAATTTCTTTTCAGATACATTCCTATGCATCTCTGCTACATACAGTCGGTGGCATCTTCATAGTTATTAAATCGCGCCTTCATTGTAGTCAAGTTAAATTCATTGAGGTGTGGGCTGAAAGTTTTGTTGCTGTTAAATATTATTTATCAAATATTTTGGAACGCATATTTAGCAAATTACATATGTACACTACTAAGCCAACACAGGAGATAAAATTTCTAAGATATGAGAATTAAATAAGAGGCTGTAAAAAGTATTTCCGTAAAGTGAAATATGAAAAATATTGACTGCTGCCGTGAAATATCTTTGGTAATATAAATTTACGGAAAGGTAAGCACGATAGTGATATGATGATGGCTAATAGCCATGATGGGAAAGTGGTCCAGTGAAGTGTGAAAAATATGTAAAGTTGTAAAGTTTAAATAGCCTCATAGGTGCAGTACAATTTATTCAGGTGTTGCGGTGTAAGAAAATAATTAAAAATCGATACATATGAAATACGCTTCAATGAAGATATTAAATTGCAGTCCACTGAAAATCTTGTAAAAAGAAGTACATACAAGCGGTATGTGATACGCCTCATAATTAGACCACCGTCCGCAAAACCTCATTCATAAAGCAAAAACTCTACCTGCCGGTCTGGCCAAAAGGGATACTGCAACTGCGCATGATTAGATTTTTCTACTAGTACCATATTACCATTTCCACCTAAGTACGATATTTCATTTGGTGCTGCTGCTGTTGACAGCATAACTGCAAAGTACAAAGTAATTTGGTGTATCATAATCTTTCCGAAGACTGCTATCACAGTTTGCACATCACTGCTCCAGTTAAGTTGAATTGTAATGGATTAAAAGTAATTGACTGTTGGCCGGATTGTTTGTGGTAGATATGTTTAGAATATGCGGTTTGTGGGACAGGAATTTTAGTTAAACCATTGTCTTTTATAACGATGATTAGATGTGCCTCTAAAGTCAGTGAACTAAAAATAGATATGTGAATTAAAAAAGTTTGGGAATTGGCTTAGAAAAATATGTGTGTGCTAAGACAAAACCTTGCATCGAAAGAATTAATGAAACTCCTTTAAAAGTTTCTATAGCAATAGAATATATAAAACAGTTTGTTCAATAAAATTATATACATTTTTTTGTTCAATAACAAATATTCAATATAAGCGCATCATGTGTGTATAGTATTCATAGAAAAACAGCAAAAATTGTATTAAAAATTATCATTAAATCTGAAATACCAGACTTATTTTAAGCCGATGACGCTTACGTATTTATTGTACCTAAACACCTGACAAGTTGGACTCGCTAACTACAAACACATAGCTGTGTGCATAGTACGTATGTACATAAATATGTGCGTTCATGCATATTTATATACAGTAGAAGTTAAAAGCGTAAAAAATTTAAATTTGAAATGATTAAATGAATATGTTTATTAAGTACAATAATAAAATTACTTATGCTTTAATTAAATAAAAAGTACTTAAACAACATAAGTTACTAATTTGATTATCGCCGATTAGCAGAGAAAGAAGAGAATATGTAATAATCCGCCAGCGATTAAGCGATTTACAAGCATCGAAACGCGTCACATAGCATCGTTTTTGGCCAGCAGCATTGCGCATCGTCGATCTCTGTTTGTAAACAGTACACTTCAGCTTCGCGCTGTCGCCGTAATTAGAGGAAATGATGTCACCAAGCTATTTTGACTTCTCGCCCATACAGAATATACCTCTCGTCATATCATATTGTGATTTTGCTATTTTTTGGCTGATCAATATTTTGTTTTTGTGTTAAATTTCTACACACAAAGTACAAATAATACATACATACATACTACATACATACAAATAAACGACTATTGATATTTTTCTTTTGCGTGATGAATAATTTTTGAACTCACTCGGCACATCATCAAATCCCAAATGCGCTTGTTGAAGTTTTGAATTCAGCAGACGCCTACATAAGTATAAACTAGTTCATAATAATGTACCATGCATGTGCACCCATTAGATATTACACATATTGCATAGTGGGAGACTTACTAAAAAAAAAAAAGACAAAACATAGAAATACAATTATACGTCACCAGTCGTCGACTGGCGCCTTCTTGGAGACAAAATATTTCAAATATTACGAAATAGCGTTTTATCATTTGTAGCTTTATATTTTTAATTTTGCTTCATACATTAGAAAGTGTAATAAGGCATTAAGGCCAGTTGTAATTGTAAATTTATTAAAGAATTTACTTTGTATGTGATGTATGTGTACATATGTACATATATTTATGTATTTGTACATTTGCATTTGCATATTTTTCTCTTTTAACCATTGCCTTGAATACATTTATTTTTCCATGAACAATATTTCTCATTGTCTAGTTTCTAATGCAATTTACACTGTTATAAATGTCACAAATCAATATTTTTTCCATGGACATATTGCTACATTTGAATATCAGTGGGTGAATGTTGTGGCATACACGCAGTTTCAGCTCTGCTTTTAACGGAAAGTATCATGAAAATAAAATATGTATATAAAAAATACCAAATATTTGTATTTGTATCGAGCTAATTTGTAAACCATATTTACGTTCCAAATGGGAAAATGGAACAAATGAATTTCATAAATAGCAATGAGTAAGTTACACTTAGGCACAATAATTATTGCACTGATATTCTAAAAACACTATACTCCGTTCATAAATAAGTTTTAAATGAATTTACACATTTTTAGCTAATTTTTTTTTTTGTTTTCAGAATTCTTGCCACTTTGAAGTGATTTTCGTTAAAAGTTAAATAGCCTAACTTTCCATAAAAGCCTTAAATCATTTTACACCTTCTAAAATGGAATTGGAATCAAGTATAGCTATACTGCAGGATCTGCGCTTGCAAACATTCGATTCCATACGTTTTGCTTCTTACCGCACGGCCTCCAAATTGCGTTACATACAAAAATCGACAAATTTACACTTGGTCGATATATGGAATGTAATTGAAGCATTCCGTGAGAATGGCTTAAATACATTAGAGCCGCAGAGTGAAGTGAGCGTAGCACGTTTAGAGACGCTCGTTTCATCACTCTATCATAACCTCAATAAACGTCTTCCCACGGCACAGCAAGTTCCCGTTGATTCAAAGGCAGGTCTATTGCTCAACTGGTTATTGGCGGCGTATACAAGGTAAGCAAGCTCTTAGGGTTTTCTTGGTTGTGAGACGATTGTTTATCATACAATATTTTTAAATTTTTTCTAGCGATAATTCGGGTAAAATTCGTGTATTCTCAATTAAGGTGGCTTTGGCGACTATGTGCTCTGGCAAACTGGTGGATAAATTGAGATGTAAGTGAAGTTATCATTTTAAAATTAACTTCATTTTTTTTATTTGTTTTTAATATTATTTTATTTTAATTTAAATTAATTTAGGTATTTATTCCAATATTTATATGATTTTATTTAATCTTTTTATTTTCATTGAATTTTTTTGTTTATTTCATTTTACTTTACACATTTTTGCACAATTTTATTTTATTCTATTTAATTGAATTTGATATTAATTAATTTTTTTTATTTTAATATTTTATTAATTAATATTATATAATTTGATTTTATTGTATTCTATTTTAATTTGTTTACTTTATTTAATTTGAGACTATTTTATCTAATTTGTTTAATTTTATTCTAATAAATAAATATCTTTTTAAATTTTAATTAAATTTTATTGTATTTTAATATATTATATATTATATATTACTTTGTTTTTATTTTATTTTATCTTAATCTAATTTACTATTTGTATTCCATTTTAAATTAGTTTCTTTATTCTATCACATTTGATTTTATGTAATATATTTTTATAATTTTATTTTAATTGAACTTTGTTTTATTTTATAATATTCGCTTGTTTTATTTATTATTTTTGTTTTTGCTTTTATTTTAAATTATTTTATTTTGTTATATTTTAGTTTAAATTAATTTCGTTTTGTTTCATTTATGTCTTTTTATTTATTTACATTTACAATCTTCGATGATTTTATTTTGCTTCATTTCAGTTTTTATATTTAGTATTATATTTTCTAAATTTTTTTTACAGTTTTTCTGTTTCTTTCTTTTCTTTAGTTTTTATGTTTTTTAATTTTATTTTTGTATTTTTTATATTTTTTTATATATTTATTATTTATTATATTATTTTATATTTATTTTTATATTATTTTATATATGTCTTTATATTACTTTTTATACACTTTTGTATATTGCTTTTATTTCATTTACTCGCCTTTCTTTTTTTCGCCGAAAGACTCCTCATTTATCTTTCTCTTTCTATATTTTTCAGATATTTTTTCGCAAATATCCGATGGCGCTGGTCAATTGGTACCTTGGAAACTTGGCGAATTTTTACGTGAAGTATTGGCACTGCCAGCAGCCGTCTATGAATCGCCAACATTCCATTATAAAGACGGCTTGGAGGAGGAGATATTTCCAGCTGAGAATAAAGTCACGGTGAATGATTTCATGGCAACACTTATGTCTGAACCGGGTCCATCGTGTCTTGTTTGGTTGCCGCTGTTGCATCGTTTGGCCACTGTTGAAACAATTGTACATCCGACAATCTGTTCGGTATGTCATAAGGAGAATTTTACGGGATTTCGTTATCGTTGTCAGCGGTGCCACGCCTACCAATTATGTCAAGAGTGTTTTTGGCACGGCAAGACATCACTGAATCATCAAAATGATCACGAAGTCAAAGAGTATTCCAGTTATAAATCACCCAGTAAACAGATCGGCCATTCGCTGCGTAAAAGCTTCCGATGTGTGCCCGAGAAGACGACACAGGTGTTGCCACGATTCCCCGAACATCCGGAAAAGACATTGAATCTCTCACATATTGTACCGCCATCGCCATTGCCGTCACACAATGGTTTCACCGATCCGCCACTGATGCATGGCGGTGTGCCCGGTGGCGCACATAGCGGTGGCCTGTTGTACGATCGCTCCAGTACGCTGGATTCACGTGCTACTGGACGCAGTCTTGACAGTGCCACCGGTGCGAGTATGTCACGTATGGCCACCTCGTCGGCCAACGATGAGGAGCATCGTTTAATTGCTCGCTATGCCGCACGTCTTGCCCAAGAGAATCGCGCGGTAAGTTGAGAGGTAAAAAGTTAAAATGAACATATCTATAATTTTCCCTTCTCTACACTTTTAGCCAGCCAATCCTGGCAATACCGATAATGCTGGCAGCATCGGTTCGGATAATTCACGTGCGCAGCGCGAACTTATCGCTCAACTGGAATCTAAAAATAAAGAGATAATGCGTGAAATAGCACGACTACGTCGCCAGCAGGAAGTCGAACAAATTACGCCCGAAAATCCAGCGCTTATAAATGAGTTACGTGCACTGCGCCAGCGCAAGGGTGAACTCGAAGGACACTTGGGCGCCTTGCAAGATTCGCGACGCCAATTAATGGAACAATTGGAGGGTCTGATGCGCATGCTGAAGAATCAGCAAACCACCTCACCACGTTCCACACCTAATTCCAGTCCACGTTCAGGCAAATCTCCACCCATGCCGGCTGGCATGGCAGGAGTGGGTGTTAATTCAATGAATATAACAGGCATGCATTCACAACAAGGCCAACAACCAACAACACATTCTCTTATGGGCATGGCTGGTGGTGGCGGTGGCATCGGCGGCGGTGGCGGTGGTGGTGGTCGTGCAACACAACAGCAATTATTACAAGGTGCACAACAACAGCAGCAACAGTCCTTTAATACAAGTCAGCTGGAGCAACTAAGTCAAATAAGCAATGAAGTGCGTTCAGCATTTACAGGCAATGCAGCGAGCTCAAGTGAGTGTTAGAATTAAAATGGTTATGCTATGGGTCATTTTTTTTGGAGTATGGTAGACTGTTTTTGAAGGGGATAAAGTCGTTAAGAGTTACAAAAAAATTTTTTTTGAGTGGGTTGACTTTTTTTGAGCATAGAAATTCGAATATTTTGTGAAGTTGCTATAGAGTTTTTACGGAAAAGTATTTTCATTAATATAAAAGCTTGTTAAAAAGTATCCACTCGTCCAACAAGACAAGAGAGATATGACACAATGCTATCTATTGACTCAAGTCATTAATTATTTCATATACGAATGTTTGTGGACAAAAAATATGGGCCTTAAAGTAAAATTTATCTCTTTACTGGCACAATTTACCGTAAATGCGTATACAGATAGCATTTTTTAAGCAAAAAAAAGTCCAAAAATCGTTTTTTCTTTCTAGACTTGAAGTAATTTTTTTTAAACACAACATTACACTAAACAACCAAAAACAATACTATTTTTTAGTTAAATGTTTATATTATAAAAATTTATGTTTCATTAACGCTTATCTCGATGTGTTAAATGTGTATGTACATGTGTGTAAACTTATACTTGATGCACAACGCTTTCAAACAACTAAACAAACACACAATTAAACTATCGTCTACTATCGCATGTAGCCTTCATGCATAATCCAATAGCTGAGATAAATGACGCTGCTGATAATATAACATCGGCACTTTCGAATTTAGTTAACGATTTGAATGCAGGTAAATATCATCGCACACACACAGACGCACACGCATACACACATATATATATATATATATGCAACTTCCCATTGACAGCTCAGTCCATGCACATTTGTAGGCGATTTTGTCATATGATTTAATTGCGGTAATTTTTCTCCACCCATTTGACAAGTTAACTAAACATTTCTATTACATATATATATACATATATGCATATATGTACATATATATAGGTATATTTCATATACAGCTAATTTATCAACTTATCAGCGTTGACCTTCACATATGTATGTCTGTTACTCAGTGCTTCTTTTTGACGAATTGTCTTGCTTGCTAGCTAGCAAATGTTCATTGAATCTGTTGCTTTCTTCTACAAATTTCGCATATTTGTATGCTAAAACATCAACAACGCTTTCAGAAAGCAATATTTTCTGTGCTTTTGATGTTAACATAAGTTTAAAAAATTTTTCAGAGCCAACAGCGTTATCAATGCAAGCTCGCTTCATTATGCCGCTTGGTAAGTTCAAGTAGCTAGATGGATTTTGGTTTATGAGCGACAAGAATATGTAGTTCATTAACAAAAGTGAAACTTCTGTGAAAAAAATTTTATAAAATATATAATATTTTTTATTTTTTAATGTTTTTTTTTTTTTTTAATAATTTTTTTTTATTTTTTAATATTTTCTTTTTTATTTTTTTAATAATTTTTTTTCTATTTTTTTATATTTTTTTTTATTTTATTTTTTTATATTATTTTTTTATATTTTTTTATATTTTTCTATTTTTTCTTTTTTTCTAATTTTTTTTATATTATTTTTTTATTTTTTTTTCTATTTTTTTTTCTATTTTTTTTTACAATAATTTTTAAAATTTGTTTAACTATTTATGTCTTGGACTAGAAGAAGCTCAGATCTTCTGAGTAGTCGTACCGACTGATTTTGGGCGAGATTAACACGCACCATGAGTTTTCTCCGATTCCGACGAGGGAAATTAGGCGATTGGTAAATCGACACAAGTGAAAAAAGTGAAAGGAACACTTATGATTCGGCAACCTCTCCTCAAGTCCTTACAACAACGACAATAACAAGGACGACTTGTTTTGATTTTGTTCCGTTGTTTTTTTTTTTCTGTTCTCCTGC